TCACAGTGCACTTTTTCTTTGCATATAATAATAAAACAGCCAACAGCAGACAAAACCATCATGCTATATCACACCTTTTACTCAAGGTCCTTTGAGCATTTTCTAAAGCAGATCAGCACTACTGTACCTACTTGGTAGAAGGAGAAATCTAGGCAGAAGATTAACTCACTTGTCCTTCGAGAGCTGGTTAGCCACACCAGGGCCCAAACCACTCATCTGAGACAAGAGTTATCTCCACTGGGCAGTGCTGCTGCTCTTCCTTCCCTTTTCCATCATTGATTAAAGAGATAAAGCTCTCTACAGCAATCACTTTCCCTGGACATTTCCTTCAGGTACCAGTTACATTCATTAACTCTTCCGGAAAGCAAAAGTAGCTGTGCAGTCCTCCATGAAATCCCGGAACGAGACAGTAGACAGCCACACTAATTAAGCTAGTCTGGTTTAACACTGTTAAGGGACTAATTCCTGTGTTTAGCTCCATGCCATAGACAAACCCAGATAATTTGGCATGAGCTAAATGGGATAAAGGAAAGTGAGTTGAAAACAGACTTCTAGCTGCCATGAATTATTAGTAATTGAGAACTTAACCCAAAATCCTTAATCAAAGGGCAATCTTAACTGTATTTTCTAAGCAGGTAACAGGAATAACAATACATCAAATTAGCAAAGACCCAGAGTACCTTCTTACCTATGCAGAAGTGCATGCCATGGCCTAGAAATGTAGTAAGTAAAAAATGAAAAGAAGGTGTAGTTGGAGATGCTATCGGGAACTTTGGACAAATCCAGTTTCATATCAGCAGGCAGAGGGAGCAAGAAGAATTAAACACTGGGAAATCCATCTGTAGTTACTAGGTCTCTCCCTACTTCAACTGGCAACTCGAAGGACTTCTTTCTTGAAAGCCCTGTTCACAATACAGCGCTTCAGTGCTAAAAGAACAAGTCTGAAACACACGTGATGGACAAACATCTTTTTTCCCCAAAAAAACTGATGTTGCCACTAGTGCATGAAGTATCCAGTCTTCTGTAGAACAGCACCAGGAAATTCTGTATCAGAGTTTCATTTGATTTCATGCCCATTTCCCTCCCCCTGAGTCTTTCTGTACATTCCCAAAGCACACCTCACGCACACACACAGTCCCCCCACCTGGCCCTCACATAAAAATAGCCACTGAAGAACAATTCAAGGAATCAGCAGCACTCCCACCAATAACAAGTTCTGATAATGCACTTTCCTGCTTCTCCACACAGCCTTGCTTTATTGAAGAGCCACTCTATGCTCTCTCCATACCACAGCAAAGGGAAGCACGCAGGCATTTTCAGTGTCACTCCAGACTTGGGCTTGTGGCTTCCTAAGTGCTTTGTAGACACATACAGGACCGTCTTCGGCATGCCAGGTTTCCCTCCTGTGCTGCTGCGGAAGAACTGGGCTCTAAGTCTTCTAATCATATCAGAGAGTGTAACTCAGTTACCTTTCTCTCATGGAAGGAAAAATGTAAACAACTTGACCAGGTCCAGCAGCTGAGCAATACATTTCAAAAAAAAAAAAAAAGGCAAAAAAAAAAAGCAGCTGATGGAACTTACAGAAGAGCTTATTTGTGTTTGCTCATACAACTTCATCACCTCTACCAGGGCCAGAAACCTGAGATCACTGCTTTGCTAGGTCTGCATAGATCATCATCATGTATCTAGGATCCTTCATGAAAAAGATGGCTGAAGCTCACCTTTCAAAAGTTCTTCCCACAGACTTGTCCATTTAGCAAAAAAAAAAAAAGTAGAAAACCAAGTGATCATTATTTATTTATTTGAATAAATAGTACAACTGTCACAAACCATGCATAACACTCCTGCTGTGATTTTTAGCAAACATAGCATTGCATTGTAACTTGCTTACAGTACACAACTCTTGTCACAAAGCTGGATGTCTCCAACATATGACAAGTCCAGAATTTTTTCTGCAAGGCTGGTTTTTAGGAGTTAGAAATCCAAACTAAACACTGTTAAAAACAGTAGAAAATACTTTTAAAAAATACCTTAATACTGAAAGCACTGGAGTGTGGGGAAGAGGGGTAAGAAATCCTATAAGGTTTAAACTGATTAAAAAAAAATCTGCCACTGTTGGTTTTTCATCTTGAAAACCAGGATGCAGCAGAGGAGTATCTGGGCTTCTTCTGTGGTAATATATCTCACTGGAACTGAGTATATCAAGCAGATGCACCTAAAAGGCAAGTTGTATGGACTGGAAAAGATAGACATTCATTAAGTACTTACAAATGTGGAAGCTTTAATGCTGCAGAGCATTCAGCATTCCAGATGAACTCAAGAGGATTCTGATCTACCCCACTGGCACCCAGGGAACACATCTAAAACTCCAGCAACACAAAGAATCCATGAATAACATTTTTAACATTGACTTATCTTTTTGAGAGGAGAAGAAGCAAGTATCATGCATACGTAACAGAAAGGCATGACAAAAGCAGGTGTTTAGAGAAGCTTTCTTTACCTACATTGCTCTTTCGGGAAACTGGGCTGATTCGGGTGAAGCTCCAGTTCAGTAAAATCCACCTTGCTCACAATTTGGTTAACAATAAATACAGCATCTACAGGAAGAGTGACCTGGCTAGACAGCAAAGAGCCAAGGAATGAAAAATGTATTTTCCCTGTGCAACATTTACCTTAAAAACATAACAAAACAGGGTATGACACCTGACCCCAACCTGTTTAGGGTGGGCATCAAGCCTGCAGTCTTGACTGCCAGGGGTATTGATGTAAGGAATGCTAAAAGGGACTCACGCCTCAAGTTGGAGAGGAGGGACTCAGGTTTCTGCAGAGTGACCAGAAACATCACTGAAAAAACAGAGATTCTCTTAAAATCTGGCGGTATGTTCACATCTGCTCACATGCAACAAAGATATCAGCTGTATAATCCCATCTCAGAAACAGCCATTCCCTCTCAAAGTCAAATTGCTCTTATCAATCACCTCTTGTTATTTTCTGTTTGTTTTTCATATTAATATTGCTTGCAATTTCAAAAACTAGATTCTCTGGAGGTCTTCCCCAGCAAGTCAGAGAAACAAGAAACAGCACCAGCACTTCCACATCACCTGAAGGGAGGTGGGTGGAACGACAGCTCTTTAACAGACTTGTTTCCCACAGATAACACTGCATTAAACTAAAAGTTGGAGAGACCTTTCAGTTCAATCACCTTCCAGCCTCATGAGACCCCTATTCCATAGAACGAAAGTTAGACCAATTTCATTAACTTGCCAGGAGAGCTAATGCACCAGGCCTTACTGCCTCTGCAAGTCTCCTTGGTATTAATTGCTAGGTCATGGCAGAGTCTAGTGGTCCCATCTGAAATTCAAGTCCAATTGTTCTAGGCTCTGTATATACAGCAAGAAGTCAGCTCCCTCCTAAAGTAGAGGCAAGCACTGATTCCCCACAGAACCTTATGGAGTAGATCAAGATTTGAATTTTTCATGGAAAGAAAGGGCAATTTCCTTCCATCTTTGTTTTGGAGGTGTGAGAGGAGGTGACCCAAATGATTCAAATACTAGAACTCAGAACCCAAAAATATGAAACAAAGAAGCAGAAGCCCATTTCTCTCCCTTTGAGATTAAAAAATGTTTAAGGAGGGAAGGAGAAAATACCAATTGTAAAATTATACCATTCAAATAGCACATCTCCTCTTGAACTCAGAAGGGTAAATAATGTTTCGTGTAAGAAATCCATCTTTAAGGAAAGAAGATGCCTAGGTACAACAGGATGCATGTGAGTCCATGGAGCGGAGCAGTACTACCTGTTTCCTCTTTGAGACACTCTGCCTCATGTTTCACACAGAATCATGGGTGCCCGTAAAAGAAAAGTTGCTGCTGTGACACATAAAAGCTGTAGTCAAATCTCTCCCTTATGCACTCCAAGGAAAGAAGGGCTAGTATATGCATATTCCACAAATAATTTACCCTGGAAATTACAATCCCATTTCCTTCACACGGCTCTCCTCAAAAATCTACTCAGATGGCTCATGTTCCAGAGCAGCCTCCTTGTACACACTGCTGCACCTAGCACATTACCAGCCAGGGACAGCTCTACAGATGAAACCTGTTAAGTACGATGAGGTAACTAGAGTCTACCAGATAAATCTAGCAAACCTTTTTTAAAACAAATTCCCACTAAAATCCCATAACAGCTTAAAAGACCACAGGCCTAGGCCAGAGCCTAGCAGAGTATTTCTCGGGATGGCACAGGGCAACTCAATGAAATTAGTTTGAAGCATAACTGATCACTGAAGAGCTTCACATTTGAGCGCTAATCATTGGCTTGCACTATGTATACCATGTCTTGCATAGCCAGTGCAATCCATAAGTACAGGCAAGCTCTTATTTATACAGGAATTCAGTTTTACTCTTTAGGAAAAGAAAATACATAAAACTGTTTATAAAAGCCTGACCCCCAGAAGTATACAGCTGCCAATAACTCCAACAGGAATGAATCTGACCCTTTAACTCAGCTACATGAAATGAAGAATCAGCCTTTAAACTGCCAAGCTCATTATTCCCCGTGTTTGTTTCAGAAAGAACCAGGGGCAAAATGCACTAATCCAGTCTGTGCCTGTTTGACCAGCTCCTGACTGACCTGAATGAAGCTGCATGCTTAATGGATGACAGTGGCTCCAGTAACCAAATTTCTCCTAGAAAGGAGATGAAATAAAAAACAGACATCAAAAGATTAGCTGGTCATCCCATTGCAAGATTTACTTTATGTAAACACTGAATGGAAATAACACTGAGTAAGTATGAGGTTAACACAAAAACTGAAGCTTTTGCCATTAGCTTCAGATAGTGCCTGTAATTCCCCTCAGCCCCACCCACCCAACAGAACATATAAAACCTTATTTAACAGAAAAGGTTCAGCTTCTAAATAAATACCAATGCTGATCTTCTATTGCTAACACTTAAGCCTGGAAAATCATCAAATGCCAGTTGCAACTAAGAAGTATGCAAAAGAAAGTCTACTGTAGAATCAAAGAGTCTCCAGCCATGAGGAAGGACTCACGTTTTCCCTGCTTATTAAAGTAGTTAGTGGTATATTTCCTTTATCAAAAGAACATTGGTTGATCATAACAAACAACAGACCCAACAGTATCTTCTGGTAAAAGTACGAATTATCTACACATTTTCAAGTGACCTAGAGAATATACGTGCATTATTTTTAGTGGGATTGTCACACAAACAGCTACAGACAGACCACATCAACTGTAGAAAGAATGCATGAAGTATAGCATAAGGCACAACGGGAGTGTGCAGAGGGCATGTTTATTGTAATTTCTGCCTAAGGAGGTTGGAAGGATGAAGACCTCAGCAGCTTCCAGGATCATTCAATGTTCTTGTACTTTGTGAACAGGTTGTATAGAACCCTGAGGGTAGACTTCAGATCCAAGTTGACAACATCTGTGGAAGAAATGGAGAAATCCTTAATTTGCCTTTTGTTCTCCCTCAGTTGTGCTCAAAGTAAAAAAAGGCCCCACATCTCTGAGTCAATGTGATCAACAACAAAAAACCCCACGGAGTTCTGATCTCCCCACATCAAGCTTTTTAAATGTCCCATATGATGCACTTTGAAACAGCTTCACAATAATACAGCCACAGCTAACTTCTCTGGGAAACAGAAGAAAGATAATTCCCTTTCTCATCCAAAATTGGTTACAGAGAAAGACTACTTCCATCTGAGAGCTGGGATAAAGGCTTTGGGAAATACTACCGATGACCTCACTGGCCACAGAAGCAGCAAACAAGCAGCCACACACATCACATGAGATACTGAACCTCACACATCCACAACTCTGCAATGATACAGTCCATGAATAAACAAAGCCTGAATTCTCTTAGCAGACTCAAAGCCGCCTATTATCCAATGTCCCTTCTTACCATGCTAGGCCAGGGAACAGGTCTGGAACAGTTCTCAACAAAAAGCTTTTCTGCTAGCACCTCCCAACCTATTACTGTAACAAAATGCCAGGAAATACCACAGACATGTAATCCCAGGACTATGGCGGGGAGGCATAGCACAGAGAAGGCTGAAGAGGTGGAAAGAAAGGTTGGGTATAATATGTAAGAAAGGAGGAGAACGAAGCAAAAAATACACAGTAAACAATACATATAGAAGCAGAAGTAAGGAAGATGAGATAATTAAAAAATCATTCCAAGAACTAGGAAGACAGCAAACAGTTAACAGACTAAGTACAATTAATGTGAGGTCCAGGGGAAACACCTACTGCCTGTTTTGAAGAATCATTGCCAGGACCTCTCCACCCTTCCCTCCCACCCCATACTGGGTAACACTCTAACCCTCACACTTCATCTGGTATTTTCAGTAACCTCTCAAACTTTTCTTTCTACCCTTTTTCCTGTACTATTTCATTTACGATTTTGTATTTTGCATTTGCAAAAGAATCTTCTCCTGCTCCAAAGAAAGGGAAGATCCTAACTGCTGTGAAGTAATACACCCTGAAAAAAGAGATGCCTTACCTGGATAACCGAAATACGAAACACATTTCTAATTTTTCCAGGTATCATAGAAGGTTGCTTACTGCCATAGCATTCTCAGTAAGGTAACAAGCAGAATCAGCATTGGTTCCTCTGTACCAAGACCGTGTTCCCTCAGAAATGGATTTAAAATGTACATTTAACCATGGGAAACAACACTTTGCAACAGCTGTACATTTCTAAAGCTGGGAAATCAAGGCAAATATCTGGAGGAGACAACTACCAGCAGGTTTGACCCACTGATGTTGGCAGTCACTTTTGTTTGCTAAACAATTAAACAAAACAGCTCTGGCACTATGAAAATGCCAAAAAACCTGGCCCAAACAGTCAGCTCTGTAGCGGTCAGAGATTTGTAGCGTATATTTGACCCATTCCTCCCTAATGGTTTTCTTTTCCCCATGCCACTCATTTTCAGCTTCCCACTGACAGCAGGATGGGTCTTCTGAGCCACCGTTACCTCCACCTCAGGTGACGTGGCAGAACGCGGTGCGATCAAGTCTTGCAGAGTTCAGTCTCTGCCTCTCTGGCTGACATCAGTTCAGAGGGAGGAACCGCCTCTGCTATAAACCAAGATCAAGGTGTCAGTGGAGAGAAACAGAAATCTGGATGGTAGAGCAGAAACATTGCTGGAAGGTAGAAGCACAGCTAGGAAATGAGGGCACGTCCCAAGGAGAGAGCAGCTGGGAGTAAGAGGCAGCGAAGTGCTGGAGCAAGAGCTAAGGGCACCAGCAAGAGCACAAGCAGGAGCTGGAAGGGGGCCCAGACCTGCAGCACTGTGTGGGGCAGGTACCGTCCATCTGCCCTCACAGAGGCATTTAAGGTTGACTCCTACTAATCTCCAACAGCAATTTGAGCTAGGTACCTGCTGCTGATCACCCCTGATGATTACTCTGAGGAATGAGAAGTACAGGAGGCCCCATAACGAAAAGAAGAAATGGACATAGCTCTTTTATTTGGCGGTGTAATGACAGGTAAATTTAGGGTCAGAGGAAACTATTGTGGTCACATAGTCTGATCTCATGTATAACACAATCCTTAGAGAGCTTTACCTTGGAAATCCTGTACTGAGCTTACAAACCAATCTGTGGCTGAATTAAAACATAAGCAGGTTTTTCTTTTTTTTTTCTTTTTAAATCTTCCAGTATTAGAAATTCCACCTCCATCCCTTGACAATTCAGACTGATGGTTAATTACCTTCACTGTTGCAAAAGTTAGACTGTAATTTTAGTTTGACGTTTTCCAAACTTTCAGACCTTGTTATGTCTTTGTTTGCTGCATTAAAGAGCATGGTAGTGTGAGATGCATCCTCCCAGTGTGGGCGATTACAGTGTTCCTTATTGATCAGTGTCTAACAGGCATTCCCAGGAATAAGCATATTCTCAGCCTCCCATTTCTTACTTTAAGATGAAGCATGCTGAGTCATAACATTACCAACAACAACTAATAAAATGTTAACTGAAAGTGGCCATAAATGATCAAAATAGTTGAAAATATTCCATTAATTTAAAACTTTCACACTCCATAACAACCCCGTTAAAGCTAAAAAATTAATCCACTATAACATACTTTTGCTGCAGTAACTCAGCAAGTTCTGCTGCTGGCTCAATCTACTGAATTGAGCTGGAAGAACAGAGAAGAGGTGCTGTCCTGTATGCTCCTATTTTTGCTTATCACCTGTACAAAGACACACTAAAATATTAACCAAGACCTCTTTCTTGCAAGCTCTGCAGAAAGCGTGGGCTACAGAAATAAAAATTGTGATGTTCTGCTCTAGACAATGTTTTACAAGAAAATCCTACAACTAATTAAAGAGGCATTTACTACCCAATTCACACTAAAGGACATGGATTCACCTAACATGAAACTACAGTGACAGGCAAAGTCCAAGATGTTACTGTCCTCTCCACAGGAGCAGCTTTTCAAGAGCAACAGTCAGTTTTACAGGCAATTCCAGCCACACAGACACCACACGAGCACACTCACTCCAACAGCTAAGAACTACTGCTGCCGGGAATGGGTACACACACAGAAGAGGAAGGAATATACAGAATAGGCTGTACATCCTGCAGCAGCAAAAAGCAAAAAGGAGTGTTCTATGAGCTGATTTGGCTTTCAATCAGTAAAACACTTCAACATATTCTGCTTCTTACTGAATCTACACACCTTGTCCAGAGCAAACAAAAGATCTGCTATAGTGTTCTACCACTCATGATAGTGTAAGGATATAAGTAGCCTTATGGGAAAATAATCTCCTCTGTTAGACCAACCAATGAAAACAAAACAAAAAAAGGACAAGTTTTCAACTAGGGACATCTCCCAGGTTTTTAACATTTTTTCTCTCTCGAAACAGGCTTATCCAGCTTACCTGGTTTCCTACTGCAATCTCTTTAACACTTCCACTCAAAAACCTGCCATTCCTGATTGTGCATTCGTATTTCTCCAGTCTCCTTGTCTGACTCATATACCCATTGACTCAGCTCCAATACTCAGAACATTCCTTTACTTTCCCAAGTTATTGTCTTGTTTCACCGAATTCTTCAGGGGCAATTTTCATCCCCAAATTTAAAAGAACAGCACTGACAGGATACATATGCATTTAATATTGCATTTTTTCCCCACTATAACCAGCTCCACTATTTGTTAATCTATTTACTATCACCGCTTTGTCTCATTTTAAGTCAGATTGAACATTTCTTAGGGGCTCCTCATTTTACTTTGTTCTGCGGAAGCCTCTAACCCATACGAAGTTTGCAACACCAGGAATAGAAATTGCCCATTTAGCAGTCAAAGTTTTAATTCCTAGTGCAAACAACAATGCAGACCTCGTCATTAATTAACTTCAAGGTTCAGAGACTTTAAAGGGAAAACTCAGTTTTTACACCTTTCAGTTCTGACTCCCAAGTCCACATAAATCAACAAGAGAGTTTGCTACCAGTTCTCCTAAAAAAACCAAAATCCTTTCAGTGATCTGTCACTGAAATCTGGTAACACGAGTCCAAACTAGCGCTAACTGTAAGAATTATGAGAACTAGACCACGAAAAGCTTCCTGCCTGGATTGTTATTGAGAACACCAGCTAAATTTATAACATAGCACTGAACAGCTCTTGGATCATTCACTAAAGCTAGATTCATACACGTCAGCGAATCTATTCCAGACAAGAAACACATGTAAGGATATACCCCAGACACAGACAATGAATCCTTCGGAAAACTGTCAAGGGGTGCACTTACAGCTCTACTTTGTGGTACTACTTCTACTGTCTTCGAATGGAGTTGCACTTGAAATGCACCTGCTAATATGTCTTTATATACAGTTTAAAGCCACAAGGCACGTCCATACCTTCAGGGCGAGCTTTTGGTTTCTTCAGTCCTCCATCTTGCATCAGCTCAAAAGCAAAGGAAACATTATGGACCTGAAAGAGGTAAAGTGTTTAGAATTTTAAAGTTATATAGGTTTTAAAAACCTTTAATCAAATTTTAAAAATGCTTTATTCTCTCCGTACTTGAGGTAGAGAATGATAATTCTATTTAAATCAATATTAAACATTTATATGTTTAAGCATGGCAGAAAGTACGTATGAGAGACTAAGAAATGAAAGCCTGTATCATTACAGGGAAAATATTCACTTTCTGATACAAAGTAATTTAAGATTTCCAAATTTCAAGTGTAAAAATGTGACTGGGTACCCCATGAACCAGGAAACCCCATTAAGCCCCGATCTCAGTCTCTATAGCAGAGGCCAGAGAACTCCCTGTAACAACTACAAGAGAGCTGCATTTTCTTGAGTTCTTCCTGCCTGTACCCAAGATCAAAGTTTCTGACTACAAGGCAAGAGATCACCCACCGTTCAGGCAACAAGGTATGTAACAGAAGTGACGTAACTGAACAGAGATGAGAAAATACATATGGGTGTGTAAGAAAGAAGAAATAAGGACACTAAACGGAGTTATTTTCAAACAACATTAGTCTTTTCTGCCTTATTAACAGACTGTGCAGTGAATGCGCAAAACAAGCTAGCACAGCTGTATAGAAAGAGCTTCCTGAACAAGCCACCAAGGATCATACATGAACATAAAGTCAGAGGAAAGAAAACGGACAAAAACAAAAAATGCAAGAAAGTGGGTGTCTTCTTTTAATTTGTCCTTTGAGGAGTGAACATTATGGTTTAAAGAGATGTGCAGAGCAGCTTTCTCATCCACGCTTACAGAAATTTAAGCAAGGTAATTTGGATTATGAATTCTGTGCATTTTTGTTACTGTAAATGACAGTTCTGGAGATACATAGCAAGGGGGAGAGATTTAATTAAAGCTACTCATCTTGAAAATCAGGGAGTTAGGCATACAAAGCTCCCCTACAACACAGAAGAAAGGCACCTTTCACTGGCAGTTATTGCTCAGGACTTTATTAATCTCTTTTTACCCGCTACAGTTCCTCCTCATTCATTGTGACAAAACCAATCACTTTCAAGATGAAAATATTTTTTCCTTTCCCGAAAACACAGTCTACCTCTCCTTCTTCAATTTACAAATCCTCTTTCCTCAAGGTAGAGTCTCCACACAAAACCACAACATTATTTTGGGAATGCTGGATATTCTTTATGAATTTAAACCGTTAACAACAAAATCACAACTGAACAGATGCTGGGTACAACTCAGCATTCTGCATTTCTACAAGGGCAAAAATCCAAGATACTAGCATAAAAAGGCAAGAGAAAGTTATAAAGGAGAGATTGTTTAAGATGTAATAGATAACGATTTTCCCACTGCTCTGTCAAGTTCCTGTGCAGTACACAACATTCAAAATTAACTAATTCCCATCCTATCCACAAACATAACACCTAAAGAAGTCCCTCTTACTGGAGCCTGATTTCCTGCCTTCAGGGAGCCCCTTTAAGCTCCCAAATAGCAACTAGTGACCTCCTGAGGAAGTCAGCAAACCCTATATAACCTATAGCACCATCAGGCTCAGGATGTTAGCCTAGGTCTGTAATGGCGCTCATTCGGTGCACCTCAACTTCCTCTTGCAACGCTGATATGATTCACCCAGGCAAAGCTGGGTTATTCTACCGACAATGAAGTCCCATCCCTCACAGAACTTGTACCTTTGCTGAGGGGTCCTTGACAGCAACAATCTGCACTGAAGTCATTATGAAAAAAAACACCATTTTAAACAGCCTTCTCCTTACAAAGCATTCCATCTTTTAACTTTTGCCAATGTTTGCACTCCTGACCTCGCCACCTCCTGCTCCAGCTCAGCCAACACAATACTTGCATCCTCCTCACTGCAGGATCTGGCAGAATAAAAAGCAGGGGGCAGATGTGTTACTCCAGCACAACCAGGCTGACAGTATTCTGATACCAGCCACCGAATATACACAGATGTGCGTACATGTCCAGGAACAACTGCAGAAAGAGGCAAACTTTTGGTTATGACAATAAAATATGTGTTAAGCCCTCTTCTCATCGTTAACACTAGGAAGGACACAGGACAATGGAGCAAGTGTGGGGCTAAGAGCAAGACACTTATTTTGTCTCCTTCCATCTCTAATACCCTGATGATGAGTAAGACAATCTGAGACTGCAAAGAATCTACTCTTCTCTGACAAAGCTCGTTTTGTCTGAGGCACTGTTAGGCAGCAAGTCATTCGCTCCTTGCCAAAAAGAAAGAAATATCCAAAAAAGACAAGCTAGCACATTTTCTCAAAAGTTAAAGTCAGCAACGTTGGCAATGATCCTGCCAGGAACTGGACACAGAACCAGATGTCTGTGCTCACAAATTGAAGTCAGACAGGCAATTTTTTGCATGCTCCCTCCCTGGCAAGATCAGGGCATCCATCTTGGGTTTAGATCAGCTCCAAAATATGTTACCTGTGAGCACTGAACGTATAGTTTCTAACCCCAGATCAACCAAAGATCACCACCTAGGTACCACCTCTTCTACTACAGTATCTCATTTACATATCAAGTAATGATATTTATTCGCCTGGTTTGTAGGAACATTGAATAAACTACAGAAAAAGAACTAACGGGTACCAGGCAACTGATACTAATGAGATGAGGGGGCAGTTTTTAGGGATAACATTCTGTGATCTTGGGAAGAAGCTCTGTCTCTATGTCAATCTCAGTGTATAGGATGCAGCTAAAGCAGAGCTTCCCATCTCTCCTTTTGTCTTGCTTGCCTATTTACATAGCACATACTAGGCAAGGCCATGCATCAGCTCTGCTGTCTAGCAAAATAAGGCATCCCTGCACACAAAAACACTTCAGGCAGTACTACAGTTTAATAAATCACTTTGATTATGCAAAGTATTACACGCTACAAAGCACTTATTACTGATTTATTCAGTCCAGATATTCATGAGCTTTGTATGTCTTTTGATGCTAACAACAGAATACCTTTCTTCCTTAACTACGGGGAATTTACCCATTCATTTCACAAGCAACTTTTAGTGGTACTAACTATCAAGTGTCACAGCCAGTGCATCTTTGCTACAGCTACTGAAGAGAAGAATACACCAGGTTCTGATTTACTGGGCACAAAGAGAAAGGACGCAATGATTGAAAAATATCATGTGGTAACAAAGCAAAAAGAATGTAACCTGGAGTTTCTACTCACCTTTTGATCAAAACTTTCAGGTGTTAAGTAGAAGTTGTGAAGCGGAACAAAATAGTCTTCAAGGAGACCCATGAGCAAAACCAAGTAAACACCATCTGCAAACTAAACGGAAATATCAATGACATTCCTAGGTGAAAGTATCTGTTTCAAATAAGCATTCATAAACAAGCAGAACAAAGAATGTTTGGTCCAAATTACATACTTTGATTTCTACCACTGCTGTTTGCTAGCACAGAAGTGTTAAGATGGTTCAGGAGTCACAGACTGCTCATTTCAGGCATAGCAAGGAATTGACACCAAGTGTAAGAAGCATTTAGGGCTTTGTTTCATCTACTCCCCGGATTCACCTATATCCTTGCAATCGCCAGTGCAGCTGAGCAAGCTAAATCAGTTTTTTCTTAAGAGCCTGTTGATATAGCTGCTTTCTTGTTGGTTCTCTAAAGAAAAGAAAAAAACCACAGGATACAAGGCTTTCTCCTTGCATCTGGTAGCATTATTTCCCCTACTCTCATTTCCTGAGCAAAACAAGGAAGCCCACCAGCTATTGCAATAGCATTAACCTGTACAAGATCATGTGCCAACAGCTATTTAAATTACTTACATACAGTAAATAGCTCTAAGCAGAAGAAATTAAAAGCAATTCACCTGGGAGTTATCCACAGTTTGTACTCCTTAGCTGTGCAGAGTATTTGGTCTGAATATGCAAGGACTGAAAACAAGATCTCCAGCCAGTTACCTATTTAATAGGCTACTGAATACTTTGGGGTGAGGTTAGAATACGTATGTCTGTTCTTGCTTTTCCTCATGTTCATTTTATTTGCTTGAGGAATCTTGCTAACTTCACTACAGTATTTAAGAAAGCTTTTTCAATTTAAAAAAAAAACCCAAACACAACAGAAACTTCCTGGGAAACATGTTTGCACATTATATACTCCCAGTCCTGCTACTGCAGCACCTGGTTATTTCAACCACAATCCCTCTTAAGTCATGTGTGTTGGACATTCAAATCTCTGTCCTTAATCAGAACTTGAAATTAAGTCTCCCCTGTCATAAGGTAGGAAGTTTAACTTCACAAAAGAATTTTTTTCCCAAGTCAAAATAGATTGTTTACAGTTGCAGTAAATACAAAATAATATACTAAATACTTTCAGCAATACTATTCAGCATTCTCACCAGATAGCACAACTACTTACTGGCTACGGGGGGTAATGTTATGTATTTCTAACAGACTTCTCACTTGTGATCCTGATACAGCATATGTGACATCCTCCAACCTTTTCAAAAATAAATTGTTGGGTACTTCCCAAGGCACTAAGCAACAATTTCTTGTGACAGATCAGATCCAGTCACCCATTTATTTCAGCAAAGCTATAAAATAGCGGTGAATGACTGGTATTAAACTAAGCCAGGTTCAAACCAATTACCCATACTCCTGGTATAAATCTCTAGATGCCATACTTATTTTTTTGCCAGGACAGTAAGACAACCATCTCTCCACAGGTTCAGTGAACTCTGGAAAGAATATCTGCTTCTGCTTAACCAAGTCCATGCCTGAAAATTGCTTAATTTTATCTGTAAAGCGAGAACTACCCCACTGACATTGAAATTCACACTTACTTAAGGTTTCCAAGCATATTCGGTATCCAGTTCTGCGCTAAAGACAGAGAACTCCTCAGAGCAGACGGTGCTGGTTGACAGTCACCTCTGCTAGCTTTAAACAAACTAACCTGGATACCACTGGCAGTCAAGCCACTGCCATACAGGAGCTCCAAATCGTTAATTCACACTGCTGAGACGCAAGCACAGTGCATGTGCTCACAAGATAGCAAGGTAAAGAGGAGGATATGAAGGCCTTGGCTGCAACAGCACAATTGTTTCCAGTCCCACTTTGATATGATCAAAGGTGGCACTGCTATCTCCATGACGAACTGCAGTCCACACTCCTCCTGAGAGCCCCAGGCAGACAGCTATTAAGAGCTTATATCAGTTCATCATGAACTCTTACAGCTAGCAAAGGCACAACCCACCATCCACCCATAACTATAGTGACTGCTTTGCAGCACTCCACCTTGATCTGAGAGACAAGCTGCCCTGAAATCCAGGCATATTCTACAGTCATTAATATGACCCTATTAAATATCCAAGAATTTCACCTTGTAATACAAATCAACAGCAATATGAAGTACATGTAAACATGAGTAAAGGAAGCATGCATCACTGAATGTCATTGCTGCTTAAAAGACAGAGCCCTGATCCCATAAGTTAACATGCCCAAAGATAAACAGTTCCATAACAAGGTTTTATGGAGCAAGGGTCTAGATTTGCAATTTACACAGATTACATACAAAAAGACAAAGTCTCCTACCTGGGTTTCTAACTCCGTTACTTCCAAATTCAGTTTATTCAAGTGTTTGTTCACAAACGTGATCAGAGACTATAAAAGAAAACACCAGAACCAGTGATGTTAGACACTACATGTTGGTGCCCACTACAGTTAGTGTTGGGGTTAACATAATCTTTTAAGACTTTTTTTAAGCTTAATAAATACGCATGTGTGCTATTTGCTTTTGCATGAATAAGTACATAAAACTGAAAACAATCCAGTCGTAGTCACTTTTTTGCACCATACGCCAGAAGTCACCAGATGGTGCTATTACATACAGCTTCCTAGTTACTTTTCCTAGCACATAAAGCATACTTCAATGTCGTGGGAAAAAGCTGTGATGACATTGGTTCTTTTGTAGGCTCTTTATGAAGATGAAGCAAGCAGTAGGTGCATTTACTGTCCACACTAATCTCATCAGGTTCTTGGAGAAGATCCACTGCCTGGCAGCAAGGCATCATCAGCACTGAGCTAAGATTCTCAAGACAAGATGCCAACAGTATGCCGTTCTGCACACACCTCTGTTCCTGGAGTCATGTGTGCAGATCAATGAGCAAATTACAGTCAGGATGTAATCTAAGTCTGGCACTTCTGTTGCCACAGGAAGCAGACATGCAAGATCCTGCTACTATGAGCCAGATATGTGCTAATGCATTGAAGGACAGAGATCTGCCAGCTTGCTTACAAGACTTCCAAAAGGGACACAGAGTTGGGTGTTAACACTTTTATTGCATGGATAGAGTTAACTTAATTTTCCATCAACTTTAAAAACACTCTTCTAGAAGATGTTTCAGACTGGAAAGATAAAAATCTTCCAGAGACTTCAAAGCATTATTTTAAATGCATACATCCTCTGTTTCATATGAAGCAGGGGGACAAATTACAACACTGACCTTCGCATACTACTGTTCTAATAAATAGCTTAACAGCCATGTTGGAACTAGCTGATGGAACAACATGGAGTCTCTTCCTTATATGTTCTCTAAAACTAACAAGTGGTGGCAGAGATCAACAGCTACTTTACCACTCCGGTCTGCCTAGTGCAAAGAGCCATGTCAAGAGCATGCCTGGATAAGTGTGCTTTGCAATGATGCTCAGCCTTGGAGGAGAGACCGGAGGACCACATGAATTAGTGTTAAGTAAAAGAGCCTTGGGACAAAAGCAACTCTTCTGTAAAAGCTTTATATTTAGCAATCTTATTTACAGGTGAATCACATTTCAGGGTACTGTGGAAAATATCTTCCAGTGGAGGGAGATCATCTTTAGTCCAAGAATGAGCTGAAAACCAAACAGTGAGTGCTTCTTGGGGAGACTGAGGCTGCAGACACAGGCATGACTGGCTGCTGTTGAGCCTATCGAAGGGGTCATCACGGCCAGCTGCTCATTCGCCTACAGCCCAGGCCCTCCTTGCTGGAGGACAGCACCTGGGATATAAAAGCATGTACAGCTGCCCAGTCAGAATGATCGGTACCACTGCAAACATTTTGTAGAGTAGCTTTTCCAAACCTGCATCATTTTGGTTGAATCTAGCAGTGCTACCTAGAAAAGCCTTGGCCAATAAACCAGAGTAATGGCACAAGTCTGACCAAAACCAATGAATCCAGGTATTACCTGGCTTTGAAACAGTCATCTCTGGGGGATGAACACCCTTTTCACTATTTCAGAATCCTCTTCTGCTATTTTCCAGATCTTTCTGGATATCTTTCTGGATAAGCATAAGAAAAAAGCAATGTAGAAAATAAAACTTGAATTTTATTTTTTTTATTTTTTACCTTTTTGACTACGCTGAGTTTGTCTGGTGCATGATCAAAAAGTGTGTCAAAGGCATCACGCTCTGGTTTCAGGGGAAAAAAAAAAATAAAAAAAAATCAATACCTCTCCAAGAGCCAATTATGGGAAGCATGTTATGTGTCCCAAGCTTAAAGTTCTTTCTCAGAAAGCCATGTAACAGAGACTCAAGCTAAAAGTTACCAGCCTATTTTGGTGTTTAGCTAAATGCCAGAATGAACTTCTCTGGGAATTTTAGATGTAACTGAAAATAATCATATCATTCACTGATTTCCCTTTTCTGCCATTCATAACTGGTACACAAGATATGTAGGTGGAAGAAAAATTAAAATGAAACATTGATTTTGACTATGCTCCAACCCTAACTTAAATAATGAGCCACTGAAACATCACCTGGTTTTGGTGCACTACAGCTACAGTTATAGCTGTGGTTGCATCCAGTGCACAGCGTCAAAATCAGATATTCATTTGGTTAATTTAAAATTACTGGTAGTACACCTGGCTTCAGTAAAGCTTAAAACTGAATACGAGTGAAATATGATTCAGGAGTGTATGAGGAGCAAAGCTTACATACAGTATGTTGAATCATGTTTAAACCTTCAAAGCATTGTATAAGCATAGCTAATCCAATCTAAAATCTACTAAATTGACTATATTAGTGCAACATTTCACATTGTGGCAGCTTTGGGCTGACTGAAATTTTCCAAACACTGAGTTTTTTGGATGACAACTGTCATCATCAGGTCAAACACGAATAAATTAGAAATCTAACCAATTGCAGTTACATTAAAAAAAAAAACAAACAAACCAAACAACATAAAAAATTACAGAAAAGTATGCAGGTTTTAAACTGTTAAAATTTTCAACATAGTTTTTAACAGTTTTTCCAAGTTCAAATTCTTTTTATTTACAGAACACATGTTAATAGTTTTCTATTGTTAAATAAACAAACATATTTATTATCCAAACACCTTTGGTATTTGAAGATATGCTATTTAGCCCCTATAACTCCCTGACATTACTTATTTTCTGAGTACCTTATTAATTATTAATGTAGATACTCTGCAAGAGCAGAAATGCTCGTGCTCACATAGTACAACTGGGGAACAGAGAAACCAAATGATTTGTTCTTCATCACATAGTCCTTTACAGGAGCCCACATCTCTTCAGTGAGAAGTGGTGACTAAACGCCACTAACAAAACTACAGGCAAAAAGAGAAGTCTCTTGGCAGCAACACCAAACAAATCAGGTTTTGTTTAGAAGACCAGATCTACAGTTGGTAAGGTCTAAACTAAGATCTAGTGAACATGGCGGAGATAAGATACTTCACGCAAAGGAATTGGAGAGGGTTGACTGGTCGCTGAAAATGGACAGATAAACGGAGCTTTCTTAGACCTCGTACCATACACCTTTGCGTTAGTAACTTTCATGTACTCATTTATATATAAATTAAATGGTCACATTATGAAGAAGGTGTAACTCTTATTGCTGGGGGTTGCAAAGATTTCTACTTGAAAGCCACTAACAAGAGTACTAGGGAATATTGCCCTGTGCAGCATTTTTGCTATTCATTACTTACAAATGAAAACTAATCAACAGAGACCAGTCTGAAGAGCACAAGCAGCATACTGGACGATCTGGTTCTACCCATTATGCTCCACATCTGTGTGGACTAACAAAACCTGCCCCCACAATACATTCCAGCCCTGCGGAATTGCTCAAAACATTGTCTTGATCTGCTGAGGGAAAACAGACAAGATTTCTGTGCCTGACATAAATAAAAAATATTCAGAGTCAACTTTGTTACTTACCAAATCTTCCCATCATCATCCTGCAAGTCAAAGCATTCAAAAATACTGGGTTAGTTCATGAATAATGGGCCTTTTCCCGCAAGATGCTGAGGGCTAAGCACTCCTACCAAGTCAGGAGGCTGAGTATGTCACAGACCAGACCCAATGTGCTGCAGGAACGTCCCCAGCAGACCACCAGTGATGTCAGGGAGACACATTTGAAATGAATGGAAATGCGTAATTATGTTTTACACATAATTATGATTTCTTACACATAACTATTTTTATGATGAAGAGTGAATGAACAAATGTACTTCTGTGTACAGTTTCCACAAATATAGTCATCAGACACTACACCACACAGCTCAGAAGGAGCAAGGCTATCTCTCTCACTTTAATCTGTTTTCTCTGAAGAAAGAAAACATACATCATACTGGATATTATGTAAATAAAATGGCCACATATGTATTATACACACAGCCAGTGACATCACCAGACATATGTAGATGTTTATCAGCTGAGAATCAGGCCCTGATTTGCACAGAGGACTTTGAAAGTATTCAATGAATGCTGAATTCTGCTGATCGTTGCCTTTTCTGTAGCTATACTTATATCTGGGTATGTAACACATTAAACAGTAAACCTCTTAATATTGTATAATATTAAATAACTTAATAAGATACATGTATAAACACACACACAAATCTGTAAACATCTTTCTTGCTAAAAAATGTCTAAACCCCACTCTGCAGATTACATCTTACAAACCACATCTGAAGGAGAGGACAAGCTAACTGCATTGTTCAAGAGCATAGGATTGAGAGGAAGAATTTAGACCCACAAACCTGAGGCAGAGCTCTGATCCTACAAAAAACACTATGAGATCTTTAGTGTCTACATAGAGATGTTATGATCTCACTTTTGAGTGTTTCCATCTGAAAGATCTTCCCGACTGAGCTAGCCACATGGTACTTCATTTATCTTCAAAGTCATGGAAAGCTGAGCCAACTCTACAGGGAGCCAATACACTGATAAACTGAAGGAGGGCTCATGTAAGCCCCTCTCAGAAGAGTTGCCTTAAGGCCACGCAAAGGAAAATCTCAGCTTTTATTTGCAGCCAAAGTGCATGTCTAGCCTTCTCCTTACAAAAAGGACTGTAAAAACATAAAGCAAAGTAATCCATTGCAAAAACTGGAGAGCAAAGAGGCTTATTTATTATTTTTGCTGAGCTCTAGTTCTGAGGTACTATTGAAAACAGAGATCATCTCTCCTTACAGTTTTAACAAGGTATTGCTTCAATTTTGAGAGGTATTTCAAAGAATTGCCTTTTGTCAAACTAATTCTTCCCCAAAATATCTACATTGGCCCTTCACTTGAGAGAGGCAACAGCACTGGGCAGAAATTATTTATATATGGCCACCTCCAGAAGGCAAGGGAAAAAAAAAAAAGGTCCACAAGGGTCACTTTCAATGAGCTATTCAGTTATAAGCTTCTGTAACACAAGAATGTCAAAAAGACACTTTTCTCCTTTGTAACGTATTTCCAGAGATCAAGTTATTTCTATATAGTTAAAAAAGCACCACATTAAGGGATTTTGTCAATTTAGCAGGAGTCAGGGGGAAGATGAAGTCTCTCTTTCATCTTTGTAAATGGTCTCACATCACGCACCACAGACACACTCTGAAGCTAAAGTGTTTTGTGCTTACTCTGTCGTAGTCGTCAGCTCCTCTGTAACGTGAGTGGTCTGAAGGAGGCCTTCACGTTTCTGGAAATGAAGATGGAGTTAGAAACTGAGATGGCATTTGTAAAGGAGAAGCTCATTAGAGGCTCTGCAGCATTCAGCATCTTTCAGAATCCCAGAGGAGAAAACTGAATAAAGCCTGCTCACTAAGTTTTGTAGAGGTAGAGGTGAAACAGCTGACACAGGTGGGCTCACTCCCAGACAGTGGCATTTATCAGGCTGTCAGCCAAATGGATGTTTGGGAAATCTATATACAGATATATTTGCAGCCAACAAACTTGCTCACAATTCTCCTCATGAGACCAGAGTAAACATCGTGCCTGGAACACAAATTAGAGAGAGTTTGTCAGCCCCATCTCAAATTCCCCGAGGACACTCCTTCATGTCACGGTGTCAACCAGCAATTTGACACAATTGGCAGCCTGGCTCTCTGGAGAGGTCTGGGGCTGAAATAACACGGACGGCTGCCTCCAGGCCAGGGCTCCGGTGTGCCAGCAAAGCTCTCCAGGCATGAGGGCAGCTCTCCTAGAGCAAGCATGTTACTGAGGTCACAAGCCACGTGCCTGTCAGGAACACATACACCAAGGAAATACAGGAAGCATAAAAAGCCCAACTAGTGATTCCACAATGAATAGTATTTCCTTCTTACCAAGTTTTCTCTCCTCAGGATAATTTTCTGCATGAATAAGGAGTTTGCTACCCAGCAGAGAGTTAGCATGCAGTGAGACTCAGTTTCAAAACAGCTTTGTAACCGCTTTCTTAGCTCTGTTAAGACACAGCCCCCTGACACAAGCGGGGTCAAATGCTTCTGAGCCTCTCCAGAGTTTTGGAGACATGGCACATGCCTCTCGAAGGCTGGAAGTACTTTTACCTGAGTCAGAAAACTTTAACATCTACATAGGTCCCTTCCAAAACTATGGGATATAGCCTTATGCTTGAATGGAGGAATATCTTTCCTCCCCTCTCTATACTTAAAAAGCTGACACACAGAGCTCAAATCTCAGCAGCTATCTAGGAATCCGGCCAGGACAACTACTGGCAAGGTTAAAGCAGCTGCTAGCTCAGGTAAGCAGGGAAACTAAACCCCCAAGCACAAGCTCCGTACACATATGCCATTTCAACCATTTTGACCAGCTGAACCTCAAACAAGAACTTATTAGGGAGAACATCTTTGAAGAGAAACACATCCCTCCTCAGAAGCAATCTAAGAAATAAAAATTGAAATCTAAAAACCAGTAAGAAGAACTCCTGCCCTTCTACTCCCTACTCAACGAAGGAAGGTAGAGTTGCTTTCTCAAGTCACCACCCAAGGAGCCTGGCTGAAAGCATGGTGGGAGCCATGGTCTCCCCTTGCTGTTCTGTTACCACTCTGTGTCTGAGCTGGGCCCTGAGCTGGATGCTGCCAGCTGGCCATGCCTGCACAGCCCCTCAATTTCCCTATCCTGCATCCATCTCATCCAGCTCCCCCAAGGGAACCATGGGAACGGTGCCAGAAGGGTTGATGAAACAAGCCAGGATGACAGCATGGATGGAAAAATGAGGAAGCATCTGACAGGGCAGTATTTTCTTGCATACAAAACAATGTTGTCTTTATTCCATCTCATCACGTCTCTGCTTTATTAACACAAGTTTCTGGACATTCCAGGCTCCACGTACCCCAGGGGGAAGATGCTGTAAACTGTGAACAAAAACTCAGTAAGTGGTGACTAGTGAATAATGCCTCCAGATGCCTGACAAGAAAGAGGAGTGGATGCCAACACTGACTCCCCAATAGCTGGAAATGGCAGCATTTCTGCATAGCCCCCTCTGAGGTAGCTGAGCATGCTGCTCAAACAGCAAGCCTAGGTCCCTTGGCCTTGCAATCCAAAAATCAAATGTCATTCTTTGATAAAACTGTGATTCCTTGCACCACTGTCACCAGACACATTTATTCTTCATCCTGCCTTGCCTCTGACCTTTCAGTCTCCAACTCAGACTAAAAGGGAATTACTGTAAAAATACCTCAGATCTCCCAGCAGCGCAAAGGTGGGACATGCTGCGATTTTAAATACGATGATGAGGAAAGCTAAGTGCAAAAGACACCAATTCCTGAGCCTTGTAAAAATAACCAACATAGTGACCCTTAAGAACAATTTTTACACTTATTTCTGAGAACATTTTTGTTTTGCTGAATTAGGGTATTTCTTCATCATGCAAGTTTATATTTCGAATATCAGGCAGTAGAGTCAGCTGGAAGAAAAATCTCAGGATTTTCAATTCTCAGTGGAAGCATGCACTGAAACCACAAGGTTTCTCTCCTCCCTGCCCTCACTGAGGAGGGCTGGAACGACAGGCACATGCTGAGTGACACCAGTATTAAAACATGTATCATCTTAGACTTTTAACTCAGCACTTGGAGTAGCTATCAACAGGATCTTAACTAGAAGACCCACCTAAACCCATGCTCTGCTAGGATGCTTCATGTAGAACTTGGATATGTATTGCCATGGTTACAAAATTTTCTATTTCACACAAAAACCACCAAGAAAACCAATTCTGGAGGCTGATTTCAAAAAGGTTTGAAAGTAACTCGGTTTCAGGAATTTGGCTCTTCAGAGGGGCTACCTCATGGTGTCCATTATAAAATAATATAAACAAAAGTGGTTTTCGGCTGGGTTAGTCTCATAGTTGTTCTAGGGTAATATTGACAGGCAGACAGGTAAAGGTTCTTCCTGCCAAGGAAGGTAAAGCAGAAAGTCCCTTCCAAAATGCGCGTGGGTTTCTAAACTAACTATACGGTGCAGGATCAAAAAAGGATAGTGTATTATTTGACAGATACAGATCCAGCTACAGATCTTTCTCGGACTCTAAATTAACTATTTTTAATTTAAAAAACTACAGCAACTCAGGAAAGTCTCAGCCTGTCACCTCAAGATGCTAAAGGAAGGGAAGAATTTAAAGGAAAGGCAGAATCACCACCAGTCTGTGGAGATCTGGATAAATACTTTCCATGTAGTACAGTGCTGTCATACCACCTGATTTTATGGAGCAGGACGCTAAAAATTAGCAAAGAAAAAGCCCACAACACTTACACAAGCTAATAAGGTATTCCGCATTGCTCTGGAATGGGCTATGGAAATGCACACAACTTGGCTAAGTAGTGACTTACCAAACCAGCGTGACTCTCTTATTTTCAAAGTGTAAGCTCAGCCCTTCTGGGCAAGACGCACCTCATGTATCTGCACAGCGTAAGAACAGCTCAACAAAGTTGATAACGATAATCCTAAGTGCAAAAGTCATCCACGAAAGTGAGACTTAACTAGTTTTGAAAATTTCAGTGTGGGTGTGTTCTTGCACAATATTCCCACAACATCTTGCAAGGTTTTCTTGCTGCAGGGTCAATTCTGCAAAGCTTACAAAGGTCACTTAAACTGTTGATTAATCCCCTTAAATGCATATTCAAGCAAGAAGAGGCATTTAAACTAAAACCTTTCAGAGCAGACATCTTGTATCAACTGTGATCTAGTTTGACAGAACCCTAATCATTATTTGGACCTGTAATAAGAGATCATTTAACAATAAACTGATAATTATAATAATAATCTTTTTAATAATAGTTTTCTTACTCGGATTAGGAACAATATTAACCTCATTACCACTCTTCCGTTCGTCATTAGTATAACAAAGGCTAAATAAAATCCATTTAAAAAGAGATCTGTGTTGCTGAACCAGCATGTATTTTTAGACTAGATTATGGATGCTGAACTACAAAAATTCAAATTAGCAAACTATAAGGCAAAACTCATTGCTCCAGAAGAAACATGCTTCAGCTTACACTATGCCTTGCTTCCCATTTAATTAAACAAAACAGGGGAGTTGCAAGCTTTTCCTAGCAGAAGGATAGCGGGGCTGAAACAAGCCTCCTCTTGCATGGGGCCGGCTGAGGTAGGCTCACAGCCAGCAGTTGCCTTAACCGTCTCCAGGACTCCAGGCTCTAGGTCCAAGAGCAAGAGCTTACAGCCTCTGAAGCTTAAATTAACTCTCATTGTACCATTGCTCTGACACCTTAAGGCACTCCCTCGGGGACACAGGAGTTGCCCTTTCTTTCTTTCCTTCCCTAGTTTCTGTCAGCCTTTATCTCATCCTGTCTTCACCTCAGCCTTGTCTAGTCTCAAGATGCAGGGACTCTGGTGAACCAAATCCCCTCTGTAGGTGTCTTCTCTACATCCCTCCAACAGGAAAAGTTGTGAAAACACCTTCCCCACAGCCTTCCGTCTGCTACAGCGGTGGAGGGTCCTGAAGCTTCAACTCAGGACAAGGAAAGGGCTTTCCCTCTTCACCTAAGGTTTTTTTCTGACTCCTCAGTTACAGAAGCCACTTCACTGTACCGGGCAGAAGAAGATTTCTAGCACCAGTGTATCAGAGGACTGTTGACCACCTTATATTTTACATTTTCCCCCTTACCTTTCCAAGACAATCCAAAGAAATTTAAAAACAAATTAGTCTCCTATTTATGTTCACGTGACTTTATGCCTAACTTACCATTCTTAAAATGGAAGAACTACAGCAGCCTGAAAGAAGTTCAAAATCGCCTCTTAAAGATAATACATACATTTATTGTGAGCCAGTGAGTATCCATCAATTACTCATTTACATCACATCCTGTACCTTCAGAGCATTCAGGCAGGCAGCCTGGAAAATGCCATTATTTAAATGTAAAGGAAAATGAGGGTTGCCTAATCAACCACTGTGCAATCACATCCTGCAAGGGGATCCACATTTGCAAAACAGAGTCCGAGATCACTTTATCTTCTTTATTCTTGAAAGGAAACCTACTACAGCCTGACAGCTCTAACAGTAAATGGCACGTACAGAAAGCACTTCCACAGCCTGCTGCCAGCAGCTGAGTCTGCATTGCAACAAGAGTGTTGAGCACCACAGCAACAGTCACGGCATGATCAGAGTAGCCAGCTGGAACAGTTCTGCCTGGTGTTTCAACAGCTGTTTAGAAAAGCTGGGTTCGCATGCTACAGACTGTACTGCCATGGGAGCTTCAGCTGGGATAGAAGGCGAGATAAAAAGCAAGAGTACATATGCTCCAAAAGTAGAGTTTTTGTAGAGTGAAAGGAAATGGTCAACAGCAATCAGAGAAAGGAATAACTACAGCAATATCTAGAGCAGGAGGGAAGAAGTCAAGGTTCCTCAGGTCAGACCTCTTCTCCATATCTAAGGAAAGCTAACAAAAACAAAAGGCTGTGAAAGAAATGATGAAAAAGTCCTTTAGCATGCCAAGGAAAACAACATGCCTGAGTCTGAATAATAAGTCATTGGGGAAAAACTTCGTCAGTAACAGGCTTCCCAGACTAGGGAGATTCTACAAGCTGAAACTCCTTTCTGTGCTGTTTGTGTTTCAATGGCCCCTTTACAAAAAATGCGTTGCAAAAACCATTTACTAAAGTGCCAGAAGTTACAGACACAACTCTCTCTTCCATAAAACCCCGTCACACATGCTTAGCTTGATATTGCAGCAGCAAATGGTGGTCCCAAACATATTAAAGCTACGATGTTCCTGGGATCACATTTAAGTACACCAAAAATGCATTCCCAGGACTGGGACTCACTAAACAGCTAGGACAAGAATTTTCTAAATGACAAGAGACTGAAAGGCAATGGATAGGAGCAGTCCAATAGTACAAAATGAGAGTGATAAATAATGATTGTTCTGATCAAATTTTCTTAGGAGTTCATACTCACCCGTACAACCACCACTTGTACAGACACATGTTCAGGCAGTCGAATGGGAGCCCGGAAGTGCATTGCCAAAGCTACCAGAAGGTGAAGAATGGAAATCAGATTCTTGCCATGGATTGCTGCAGGGAACAAGCAAAAGGCAGCAAATAAGAGAATACTGAGGCCTTATTCTAAACAAACAGCTCTGGGAAAAAGGCAGGTAAAAGGCAGTGAAAAATGCCTCTGGTGAACAGAGTCTTCTTTCTTTTTTCCCCTCTACCCTCTTTTTCCTAAATTAACACAGCCTACAATATACTTTCACAGATAGCAAAGCCTACATCCAACCTTCCCTTCAAGTTACACCTCTAACTTAGGAGTCCAGACTCTTCAGCTCCCTTCCTAAGTTAATGAAGAAAAACAGGTGGACGCAACTCCTTGCCTTCCACTGTGCTGTAGAATACTGGACAATTCTGCTTTTAGCAGACTTTCAAAGTGTTAACGCATGTTTTCCTGGTTGTAAGAGGTGAACCCCACCCACTACCTAGGTGAAGAGGCTTCTCAAATTCCATTCTCACTTTTAGATCATAACAGGTCACACTTGAACAGAGGGCACTTTCTGCTTAGCCTGTCAGAAGCTGCATCCTTAAGCAGGATGCAGGATCCTTTGGTTCTCACTGTGGTGGCCTGAAGGATTAGACCACCCTCTAGTACTTGAATGACTAACAGACTTCTCATATCTGCAGGAATTCAAATTCAGGAAGCAAATAAAAAACTTTCCAATGAAACCGTATGCTTAAAGGAACAAAGTACTTCAATTATCCCATAGCCATGTACATTTGTCCATAAACAAAGATCACAGAAGAAGGTACCAGTTACAATCCATACATGGATGTAGTAACCCCCTATGCAAATAAACAGGTAATTTTTAAAAACACTGCATCACAGAGAATATGATCGAACTGTCAATTATCATGCCCTCCTTGCCTGTGAAGCTGAGAGAGAAAGCATAACAGAGCCCTTACAGTCAATGTTCCACTTGATTGTCCAGCCATGGGGTCTGAGTAAATCATGGACAGCTTCCAGGACTGTCTGCAGCTTTTGTTTCTGACCAATTTCAGATTGTGTCACTTCTGCCACGTTCAGTTTACGGTCAGCCAATTTTTCTGTATTTGAAAAAAAGAACAACAAAAAGAACAGGCAAAATTAGATTAAACAAAGGCCAAGATGGAAAAAATTAGCACAAAGCACGGGGCAGAGCCAGAAATTTTTCAACAGAATTATTTTCCTTTCATCAAAGTGTGTCAATTTCAATAAAACCTGTGATAGAAAACTGGTAAGGTCTGGCAAAACATGCTAATCAACCAGGTTTTAAAAATATGTAACAACTTTCAGATAGGCATCAAGTTAGTAACAATATTTATTGTGCCTCCTATTTTTTTTTCCGCCACTGCTGAAAAGCATTTTGCATAACACAGCCTTCACTACACAAGGAATCTGCAAAGGTTTAAGGGACTTTTCTAATAACAAGTTGATTTAGGGCAAAAGCTGGGAAATACCGTGTGGACATTTACTTCAGCTTGATAAGCTTTATTTCAGGTTAACTGAAGGTATGAATTTAAGCTAAAGCAAATTTTGCCTCCTCAAACCATCAAAAGTCAGAGACTCATATGACCCACAGATTTGTACCGGCTTAGTAGAACGGGTTTAAAGAAAGAAGTAAGTTGATACAATCTTGTCATGTTGTTACAGCATTGTCACGTCATGGTTGATTACTTCCAAAAAGGAACTAATGCAGGAAATTTTGTAAAATGCCATTACCAAAATTTGAACTCTGTTTCTGTAATATAATTACTTGTTGCCAGAGTCACAGATAAGTCATTCTTCTCATCCTCTGCATTGTGGTCCTTCCCAAAGACACAGGAGCTGACTTCCCATCTTTCAAAAAAGAGAGCTGAGGAAGGTAGGGTAGAGTTCTCCAGCTACTAGAGCAAATGGGAACAGCTAATCTCTTTTCTGCCTCCACTGTGCGGAAAAAATGGTGAAACTCACTCTGCTGTTGAGACTAGGAGATCAGGAGTGGTTTTGACTGTTTCCATCAATCTACAGTAGGAAATTTTTATCAATACCTGAATAATATTAATAGGGAAAATGTTCTTTAGTCAAGACGTCTCTGAGCCTTTTTTAAACTGACTACCAAAACATGCAAATATTATTTTAAATTATTTTAGATTTTTTTTAAAAAAAAAAAAAAAAAACAAAAAAAACCCAAACTTCCTACAAGATTCATTTTTGGTCATATATTATGGTTCTGACCTATTCTTAGCCCAGGTTAGCTGCCAGTCAGCAAGCAGAAATTTCTTTCCTTCCACCCTGACATCATGTGTACCAAGCCACTCCAGTCTCTCTGAGTGGCACTACTTGTACCTTGATAAAATTAACTAAACAAGGAGCCTCACCTCAATCAGTCAGACAGCGATTTGCTAATCTCTTACTCCAAACTGCTTCAAAACAAGCCCACTGACAAGCTGTTGTCTTTCATTTTTTTTTTTTTTTTTGTGTCTGCCTATCAAGACAGATCTTCTTGAAACACCTCTCACACAAGGAATGATAACTATTACTTGAAGTTTAATGACCCTACTTTGTTAGCCTTTCCTGCAGGCACAAGAAAAGAAGGCTTGCACAACAGAGCGCTGACTTAATTCCAAGGCCTCAAGCATCAGGAGCACCACCATAAGCACGACATGCTTTGCCTCTTGCATCAATGAGACAGCACGAAGATGGATAGAATCAGTAATATAAAATCTTGCTGGAGAAACCAAGACACCACTGAAAAACACCACAAGACTAGGCCTGAGTTGTGATAGCTTCAGGTCAGGGGAGAAGCTTTTCCTCTCCAGTCAGAAGCCCAACAGGAAGGTGAGGGAAAGTCAGTCCAGTTAAAGTCTCAGGCTGCAAGATGTACATGCCCACCTCTCCTCCTGTAAGATACGCCAAGTCCAACTGAGCTACATATGTATGTGTGTACGCACAACCAAGCACTTTCTAAATGTCTGCAGGCCCAAGGGTGAAACCAAGGCCTCCACAGGGAACATAAGAAACCAGTGACACCTATGACAAATGGCTACAGTGAAATGCACTACCACGTGCTGAAACAGCAGTGTGTAGATATTAAGAAGTATAACTGTATTCACACAAATACTCCCCAGATAAAATTAATTCTACACCCCTATTCCCCACCATGTCTGGAGGGTCCCAGCTGTAGTTTAACCAAGCAGTGTTAGAAGTACTCTTGTTTTACTCCTCAAGCTATTTTTGAGGAGTTTTAATTGCACACAAAGTGATTGTTGTTAACCAATTTTAAAAGCTTGTGAATGTCCACCAAAACACTGCAGGCCTGTTATTCAAGAGGCCTATGCAGAAAATTCATTAAGCAGCATCTGTTAGCAGCACTGGGATTAGTACCACTACGTGCTCTTGCCCCACTCTGACACATACACCCTACACCCCAGGCCACTCTTGAAAACATGTCGTAAGTAAACTGAGAGCACTCTGACTATCTGTCTCTAAGAAACAGTGTGGATTTACAATGGCACTTGAAGATTCAGGTCTCTCTGTTTGCTAAAGGCACTCCCACTGTACCATCATCATCAGTTTTTCTCCACTGTGCTTCTTGCGTCAACGCACACCTTGCAAAGACATAAGGGGGCTGCAAAATCACAACTGCTTAACATCTTTTCATGAATTATTCGCACATAAGTGCACGTTATGACTATGTGCCTGCCACCATGCATTCTCTTTTTCTCATTTTTTTTCCCTGGAAGTAATTCCATTAGGACCTCAAAAAAGTTCTCATCCCAAAAGCTTTCAGAAGCAAACCATACAGACAAAATTTTGGACCACAGGGTTTCTGCTTGGTCCCCCACTGTAAACACGAATCTCTTCGCCTTTTTTCTGCCACACATTTCAAATGTCTGGACTATTCTCAGTCCACAAATCAGATACCTAGGAATCGTCTGGATTTCCTCCCCTTTCAGCAGGCAGCCTGAGAAGAACAGATGGAGAAGCTGACACTGCAGTCAAGAGTGAAACAAACTTTACTGCTGATGAGATGGTGAATTACAGCACAGACTTACTGCTGTCTGCAGCTTTGGAAGAGGTTAACTTTGGGCCCCTTCCAGTCTTTGGGGCGGCCTTCTCTCGTGTGAACTCACCTAGCAGCTTCTGCAGCACCTGCCCATCATAAAGGTCCTCTTCAAGCTGTTTGACAATGATTCTCTCCTCCACCAGCACATCATTAATCCAGTCAATTAGAACCTGAAAGTACAAAAAAAGGAGGCAAATGTCTAAACACCACTGAAATATGTTCCTTCTATTCAAGGCAGTAATCAGGAACATAAAACAGAGCAAGGGTAACAATATTTATGTGTTTCCAAGTTACAGAGAAATTACAGACGAAGAGACGTTTTTGCTCTTACTGTTTTTAATTCAGGTGTTGCATCATGGAAATTTTAGTGCCCTCTATTTTTCCTCATTAAAATGTCTCCTTATTGCACCAATTCTAAAGCAAGCAGCAACTAGTAGCCCTGCAACAATAACCTTTGCTAGTATCTATGCTCTCCAGGTCCCAAAATTCGTCTTACCTGTTTCATGTGAACAGCAGACCTGCCAGTAGATGACAACAGTCTCATGCTCCCACCATGATCTCTACCCTGAATAGATATGAGTGGTGCGCCAGAAAGAAGAGCTTCAGAGAGGAAAGAGTAAACACTCCTACTAACAGAAGCTAAACGGACCCACTAGCCAGATCCCTGCCATTAGCAACAGGACAAGGCATCTTATCTTAAGATTTTGCAGAATACAGAAGTCTGGAATGAAAATGTTGGTCAAATGGGCCTGGTAATCATTCTACAACATATAAAATAGTCCCCATATGCTGACTACCACAGCTATAAAAATCATTCAATCACCTGCAATACAGGAGTGAACATAAAGAACCTTTAAAAAGAAAAGGAACTGAGTTAAGTTTTCCGGGTGCCAAAGATAACAATTTCCAAACAGTTACAGGAAAAACAGCCTTGACTCTTTGAAGTTGGCAGTACTGCTTTCCTTCAATTTATTATTTGGAAAATTAAATTACCTTTGCAAAAATAATATAGTTCTGTGGGAAGAGACGCAAAGTTAAATTCTGCTAAGTCCTTGATTCTATAAGAGAAGAGTATTGCCAATCATAGACATGCAAAATCCACTGCCACCTAAAGCAATGAGCCTCATTTAAAAAATCTGCAGTTTTTAATTTGCTTCATATAAAATTGTGGATTCTTTAAATTCACTTTCTGATTAGATCCCATACTTCTGCCTCTTCTTGGCAGTCATGATGGCTAAGAAAGTTTGGGGGTTTTAATATAGAAGAGATTGTGAAACAAAAGCAAATTAACAAAACATAGACGGGCTTGCACTGGAAAACACCTACCGTGGCAATTCTAGAAACATGAGCATCTGAGCTCATTCTCTAGAGAGATTTCTTTCAAAACAAAACTTTTCTCAGAAGTTATTCACTAATCAATACCAGCAACTTGCATCAAAAGCTGTCTTCTCTAAAGCAGGAAAAGGAAAGGTGGAGGTGACATTTGAAAACAGATGTGGATATAGAAGGATGTGCTCTGCACCAGTATTACTGCCCCACCTCTTCCCTGTGACCTTGCAGGAGCCTTATCTGTCACTTGGGCCATTCCCTCTATCAGGTGGCCTCTGCTGTGTGGTTACAGCTACCACCACTGTTCCAACACATGCAGCCAAGTTGTTGCACACTCCCACATCCACCTGATGTCATTTGTTGGGCAGGAGGATCATTCAGTATCTCCCTCTCCTTCCCCTGCCTCCCACTGTCCTCCTGCAGCCCCTTTGTGGCTTGCACTGCTAACGAATTGACAACTGCACTTCTCCTGCCTGAGCAGCCCAGCCTCCTGGCACATCGGCCATCCCTGGCACTTGGGGTCCTGGGTTGAAAGGGGTATTGCAGCACTGTGCCCTGAAAGGTACAGTCATCCTCTCACTTCTGCTGTGGTCATGGGAGAAATGATAGGCAGCATGTTTCCCGACACATGCTCCAACATGCCCTGGAAATCATCTTGCTCCTATGTCACACATCAAACCTTTGGATTTCCTTTGAAAATCCCAACCAAAATTAGCTCATCAGAGATTACAGGTGGCAAAAGTTAAACACAAGAAGATGTGGCCTAAATAAAAGAGCTAGCAGAGCTCTGCTCTGCAGGTGGGGAACCATGACCATATTCGGAGAGAAAACTCCCATCAGCTATTCTTGTCTCTTTCAATCTTTTTGAGGTGATAGGACATTTATGGTAAAGAGACATTAGACAAGTCAGCAAAGGATTACCACAGCTGGAAGACAATGAGACGAGGGATATTGTCTTTGGCCTTGAAAACTATTCATCAGTGATACAGAAAAGTGAGTCTTAAATAACAAGATGTCCCAGATCATCTAGAAAGAGATTTTTTAAGTCTGTCAATAAGGTGACTGCCCAATTCCAAAATGATACAAGTATATCACACATAGACATCAACAGAGAACAACTGAAGAAACTAAAATCATATAAGATTTGGGTCTTCCATGAGATTTACAGTGTAGACTTTCAAAAATTATCTGAAGTTCAGATGAAATTATCATTTGGTAATCAGATCCCATTATAGTCCCTATAGGAAGAGGCCAGATTTCCAAAAGTCATTAGAAGCTTTGTTAAAGGAAGACTCAAGATGCTAAACTATTTGAAGCCATTAATAAACATTTTATTTTGTCTGTCCTGTACTGAATGGTATTGAAGTCAGAATCTAGAAAATGCCAAGGAATTAAAAGTATGGAAGCACCTTCTAAGGTAGGAGCCAACATCTCATCTCCAAGACTGCAGGTACACAGGAATCACAAAGCGGCTTTGGGTACGGGGTGTTAAAAAAGGGAAATACTTACACTATGTGCTACTTGAATGTTTCAGAGACATTTAGCACTGAAAAGCTTTTGGCAAAAAAGTACTTAAAAGAGATACAAATGGAACAAGGTCTAGCCATAGTTGTTTTATTATTTTAATAGTTCAGCACCTGAACGAAAGAAAAATATCCCAAAGAACATTCTAAATTCTTCAGCATTCAGACTACAACTCCAGCTCTGCTAGAGAAAATGCATTTGCAATTTATATTTAAGAAAAAAAAAATCCAAGTGTTTTTTTTAACAGCCCTTGAAGAATGACAAGTGCTGTAATTAAAAAAACAAACAAACAAACCCCCAAAATCTCCTGTGCCACCTCTTGATTTCCTGACTGTGTCTTAATTAGGAGCCTGGAAAATCTTTCTGCACAGAATTTTTTTTTTTTTTTCATTTTATAAGAGAGATAAAACACCATATTGCTTATTGAAATGGCTAACACAGAAATACTTTCTGACTCTGCTCACAGAAAGTCAGCTCTCCAGTTCTTTGCAGTTGCTCCTTCATGCAAAGACAGAAGCAGAAAATATTCAATAACCTGAATGTCTAAAAATTTAAACAGCTTGATACAAGCACAGAGTACTTGGTGGGAAGCAGACAGAAGGTCCAGAAAGCTTTTCCTGAGCATGAAAATATACTTAACTTTGATCTCTCTGGTCTGGCACTACTCTACCCATTCCTTCATTTCTGTGCCTGCGCTTCATAGAACTGCAGTTCAATATTGCCTTTTAAGTTAAGGCTACACTTGCTGCATTAAATAGCGGGTGTAAGAGAAACACTGCAGGACTGAGGCAGTGCTTTATTGCAAAGCCTGTTTTCCCAGTGTCAGACCCAACACCGTGCCTCTCCTTACATGCACTGGCTGGTGAAGCCACCACAAGATCCCACATGTAGTTAATGATCTTCAACGCACCTGAGGCTCATCTTCTTGTTCAGTACTTGGAGACTCACAGAACAGCATGCAGATACATGGAAATGTGTGTTAGGTCACTTAACTTGTCATAACTTCATAAAAAGCTGCTTTTCTACAGTCTTCTGTAGTATCTGGGATTAGCAGCATGATTTTGAATCAATATCCCCATGTCCTCAAAAGCATGCCTGCCCTGTTATGCATATCCATATTCATATAAAACATCTCTGAACTCCGTCAAATGCTCAGACACATGTGTTTGTAGTTGTAAAATTTCCAGCAGTGCTTTAAATTCTGACACATCCATTTATCATATCGTTTTTAGGACAAATGCATATATCTGGGTAAATGAGCCATGTTGCATTACTAAAACACTGCACTGAAAAATTAAATTCGCCATGAGGCAGACAGCTGGAACAAAAGAGTGCTAGAAATCCAGAAGGAAAAAATGAGTCTGCCTGGCCGACTTGTTTTTCTAGTTCATGCAAGATGGGTTTTTACATCAAACTTCACCAGCTCGTTGTAGTAGTTTTGTTCTGCAGGCTGGCTGCTCTGTGGCGTTGAGGCACATTCAGAGTTAATCTGCAGAGCTCAAGGGAATAAGGACCCCAGAGTCACCGCTATACAGTAATGAACACAATGAAAAACAAGACAAAATACATGAACACATCTGGCACAATGGGAAAACAGGAAGCCCAGTCACCAAAAAGAGCAAAGAAAGAAAACCCTGATTTCAGTGACCCTTTCACCCCTGACTTCAGGAAGAATTAGGAAGTAGAGATCAAAGGTATGAAAGCTTAACTGGCTTCAGGGTTGAGCATGGAAATTAATATTAAAAATGCATATTCAGGCCTGGAAACTATTGACTAAGCACAAAACATTGGCAGCCTGTAAACAAAGAGAAGGCTTCTTGTTTTCAAAAGCATACCACAGAGCATGTAGGAAACACGGTTTCATCTGGTCACACGTGAGACGTTACCAAAAGGACAGTGGCTCCATTTTGGTTTTCTCTTCACCACAGCGAATTTTAAAAAGCCATAAAATTAGACACGGAAAAAGGTGATAATTTCTAGGACAGTGAATGATTTACTACAAATGAGAATGCTTACTCATTTCGGGCAGTATCTAGAGCAGCAGTGTTTGGATTTGTATGAAGTTTAGCTAAGGCTTTAAAGGCCAAAAGTTGCTGCACTACCAGCCAATCTTACAGAAGTCTCTGCAGGGAGGGAAAGCATTTTGCAGCTGTGACTTGCTGTCTTTTGTCAAGGCAAGGCACCTTCAGATAGGACCCAATTCTTGCAAGCTGCTGTTCTAAAATCTTGGATTCAATTAGTAGGAGCTTTTCTTCATACTTTTCCTACCAAAATACATGAGAAAACTCTAGGAATTCTGCCACTTACGTGAAACATTAAAACACTTTTTCAAAGTCTCTGACTCAATACCTTCAGCGTATTAACTCTAATTATGTTTAGGAGGACAACTAGCAATGAAGCTTTTGAAACTTTTACCCTTCAGCCATATCTGAATCAGAAGGGAGTAAAAAAAGATTCCTTCCACATTTACACCCATCAAAGAAACACACATGAACAACAAGGAAAACACACATAGATCAGCCTCTTTTTTGTTTTCTTTAAGTATTCAAAAGAGAGCTAGAAGAACCCCCAAACACTCCTCACAATTAGTGCATGAACCAACTAAGGGAACTTTATATATTAATGGAAACTGAATTTTAAACAGATTCACAATAACGTATAGACTAGAAACCTGACTCTGAAGCATACAAGAAGAAACAATGTACCACAGGACACCTCTGTATCGGATCACAAAACAGCCCAAACTTATAATCAAATGCTTACTTTAAGCTAGTTGTGCCTTGTCACTTGGTAAGTATTGGGCAATGAGTAAAAGCAGCTCACGCATTTCAGACACCAGAAATGGAGTATTTTGTGAATAAATTATTTATACATAGATGTAAATAAAACGATACTCATCTCTATTTCCCTGATCTGAATTTTCAGCTTTCGGTCTGTTCAGCCATGTACCAAACCGGGTTTGATTACACACACAGCAAATGAAGTGCGGAAAAAAAGGCTGCTGGCTACACAGGGAACTTAGTTGAAAACTTCATATTGACAAACTGTGGCCAACTATTTTTAGAATACCATCAATGATGATAACAAACAACACTGAGGCATAATTATAGTTCCTGGTGATTTTCATATGTGCAAGAGGACTTAGAGTAGGTATTTTAGCATCCCCAACTAAGTAGCCTTCAACAAGGGGATTCACTGTATATTTGCTTTAATAAGAGTGACGAATGAGGCTTTTTGTTGTTGTGGTTTTTTTTTTCTGTTGGTCTCTCCATGTTACCACAATGCTATACAATCTGTCTCTCCAGAGTTAAAATGGCTCTGTCAAAATCACTTCCAAACGCTCACACAAGCTTGCACTGATCAATCCACTATGTGTGTAATTCCTACAGCATGAGGCTAGCAGAAACTAAAACAACATTTTGTGGAGACAAAGAGATACTAAAGCAGTGTCAGCAACAGACACCTCTGCTGTTTCTTTGCACTGAGATCCATTTACTCAACCGCATGTAACTGACAGAACAGAAACACTCTAAATCAATGATGGCAAACCATTGGCATGTCTCACTGGTGTTGAAAAAGATTTGGGCTGGCACCAATGAAACTAAGTCATACTGCCAAATTTCAAAAGGCATGAGGCTGTATTGCTGCTATTGACACATTCCTCTCTGCAGGGAAAAGACAGAGCCACTTTGAACTGTTGGTCTCTCCATGTTACCGCAATGCTATACAATCTGTCTCTCCAGAGTTAAAATGGCTCTGTCAAAATCACTTCCAAACGCTCACACAAGCTTGCACTGATCAATCCACTATGTGTGTAATTCCTACAGCATGAGGCTAGCAGAAACTAAAACAACATTTTGTGGAGACAAAGAGATACTAAAGCAGTGTCAGCAACAGACACCTCTGCTGTTTCTTTGCACTGAGATCCATTTACTCAACCGCATGTGACCGACAGAACAGAAACACTCTAAATCAATGATGGCAAACCATTGGCATGTCTCACTGGTGTTGAAAAAGATTTGGGCTGGCACCAATGAAACTAAGTCATACTGCCAAATTTCAAAAGGCATGAGGCTGTATTGCTGCTATTGACACATTCCTCTCTGCGGGGAAAAGACAGAGCCACTTTGAACTATAAAAACGTCCATCTATTCAATTCCTCACTCCTTGCTAGTCTGTGGAGATCTTTCATTTCAAGCTCTGTGGGGCAGTCAGTCTTTTCTGCTGGCTGCTGCTGTATAGCACTTGGCATGGCAAATTCTCATCCAGCACTGGGGCTCTTGGGAAATGCCAATAATCACTGAGGAACAGAAAACAAGGAACAAATTGCCCATTTTTTTTTGCATTATCCAAACTCTGTGGCATAAAATAGGTTTTGCCAACATAATTCAAACCTCTCCCTGCCTTACAGATTCACACCAACGTAGTGTTTAATATTTCTCTAGCTGAATCTCTGTAAAAACTCTCAGCTGATGAGAGGTATGCAAATAATTAGCAATTACCTAAATTACATAATTTTCATTAGGCACTCCACAGGACACATCTCTCCTTTGAGGATGATCCCAAGGAAACAATCTCCAGTTACGGTTCCCTGCACCAGCTGCTACAGTTCAATTGGTAATATGCTACTCTCTTCATGCAAGTGTAAACTGCCATAGTGAACCAGAGCCTGATTCTGCAATGTGCTATAAGCACTCGGACACATTCTCAAGTGCTGCTCTAGCCCTGATTCTCATTCCTCCCAAAGGTTTTCAGGTTTTTAAACTGGAAAATAGAACCTTGCCAGACTATGACATCCAGGGAAGACTCACCAACTTATATTAAATTCAACAGCAAAATTCCCAATTTAAAAGCAATTCTGATCTCAGTATGAAGTCTCCTGCAGCACAGAGTGCATCTGGTTCCTCCACTGCAATGACTCTGGTTCAGCTGAATTATTCATTATAATATGGCTGCTCTACTAGCAAAGAAACCACAGTACATTTTGAAAGAGTGGCATAAGACCACTGTACCTTTTGAGAGAATTAATGGATTTAGGTACTAACAAAGAAAGAATGTGCAAATTCACTTAATTTAAAACCACAATGTATTCCAGGTGTATTAGAATAACAAAGAAAATTGAGCACAACTCCTTGCTAAACTCGGTTGGATGTGGTTTTGTAATCCTAAACATGTTATTGTTAATAACAGATCACTGGGCTTGTTTTAAAGATGTCCCAGGTGAGCAGTTTGCTGAGGCATTCTGTCAAGCACATGTGTGCAGCCAGGGTGCACATGATTTCCTGAAAGGAATGTGCCACAGCTCAACCCCCTATCTGGAGATGGAATACACTATCGAAAGTTTTCAGACCCATCCAGTTAAAGCTGCATTGTTGTTTCTAACAAAAATAATTTTTAAAAATAATTTTAAAATAATAAAGAGGAAGTGTAGCAGGAAGCATAATACAAGCACAAATGCTTTTTGGAAAGTGTTAACCTCAATGAGTTACTGTATAGAAAAAGTTTTCCTAAACACTAGTCCCTCAAGATCAAATCATCCATCATACCTGGCAGAAACTATGAGAACTGCTGCTGAGGCAGGAAGCCACACTTCACATCAGCACAGCTGGGAATACCATTATCAACACCTTCGGCAGGTGTCTGCAGTGACAATACAGATCCAGGACAATTTGGCCCCGGCCTCAGCACACAGGTAAACTGAGGACTTTTCTTTAAGAAACCCAAGAGAACATAGGGCAAGAAGAATCTCAGTTCCAACTTTCTTGTAACATCGGAGGTCTCCTCGTTGTCCCCTACCATGCCCATGCTCATTTCAATCCTACTCTTTCTTCTCCTGAAATCTCACTAATGCTTTCCAAAGCTCCTTCCCTGTTTTCATAGGGAACCTAGGTTTATGTGCAGTGACTGCAGGTAAATTCAAGCTAAGCACTGATCCTCGCTGTGATAATCACAAGGATATAAGTGGACAGTGGAGCTTTACTCCATAACTACTGTGAGCACTCTGACATTCAGCCTTTTCTTGTTTCTCTCGCTGCTTTTAGCCTTACCTTGTTGATGACCCCAGTTTTCACAGATATACTTCAGTAACAAGTTGTTATTCCTCAATTGTGGTCTTGGTAACCAACTTGTAAATGACTCCGGCTTACTAGTTAAAGATTTGAAGAAGGACAAAAGAGTGATTTCCTACCTTGATCAGTTCTTTGAACTTGGGGTCTTCTTTTGAGTTAGGATCAATCATAGTGCGTTCCTCATTCTCCTCTGTCCAAGTAAAATGGGAAACTTTAGTGAGATCCACTTCAAATGTACACTGCTGAAATACTGCGACAGTTTCTAATCATGAAGTGGCCTGTCAGCTGATCAAGAAATGACAGTGCCTAGTCATCATCTCAGCAAGGGAACAACTGATGATCAAAGTGTTAGGCATTTTTAGAGACATACAGAAAGTTAACACAGCCCTAACTTCCCTAAAATAAGATTGTTTCCACTGACCTCCCCCAGCCTAGACCCCGTGGTATACAGAATACTATAGGAAAATCACCGTCCTCTATACCCTGTGGGGCACGTTATATTAACATGCCAAAATGTACAGTCAACTACTTTTCGCCCTCTCCTCAATGTATATTTAATTTCTATTTGAAAACACCTGTCCCAAATTACACAATCTTGAAGACTATTGCAAGCTTATGACTCAGTGCAACTGCTGAGACTTGGGCTGACAGTTTTTGCATCCATCCTCTGGTTCCCTGAAACTTGGTCACACATGCGGTCCTCCAGTTAAGCTGGAGAATGAAAATTACCCCAATTTATATCATCTGTACTTGTGCATGAGGGAAGAACATAAAATGGATTTCTCAGGTTGAAAGTCTTCTATTTCTTCTGTTGCTGGGAGATGGAGAGATGTGAGAAATGCTCTCCAATGGCCAGGAGGACAACCACAAGAGGCATGAATACAAAGATTAATTTTTCAAAGGGATGGTTTGATACAGAAATGTTGGTGGCAAAATCAACTTGAGCTCAGTAAGGTTAACAATCAAACAACCTTTGGCAGAATTATCTTCACAACAGCACATACAGAAACGTGCATCACATGCATGTTTATACGTTACCATAGATATGGATACCAGTATTTAGGAAGCAGCTGGAGCAAGTCTCATATTTTAAATTCTGGTGCTTGCTTTCAAGTAGCAGACCTCTCCCTGCATCCTTTATTTTAGCTCCTTTAAGTAGCCAAGTGGTAGCTGTGATCTAGGTTAGATCTGTTCCTTTCAGGGGAGGGCAAACCCTGGCTACTACACAACAGGGACACAAGGATGGGTGACAGTGTCACAGCTATGAGAGGAGATCCACATCTCTTCAGCTAAAATAAATATTTATAAAACCCAGGGAGTTATCTTTAGCTGAGTCTAGACAGGCCATATGGAATCCTATTTTCCTACTAATTTCTCAATTCCTTCCAGCATGACAACAAAGGAGGGGGTTCAGTATGACCATTGGTAACGCCATTGCCACATTGTGTAGAGGAACCCTTTAAAACCTGACAATGACCAACCTACAGCGACTTCCTATTGCAGTGCTAGACTTCACTGCTGTCAGGTAAGAAACACGACACTTGCACATCTGAGACACAAGACAGACTATACCATCTAACTGGTTACCTTAGACTTCAACCAGACATTTGGGTTCAGTATTTTCCATGGTCCTTTAGCTTTATTAAAAAAATAAGGCCCTGCTATCTAAACATACTTGACAAATTTCCACAAGCCTACAAAAAAACATGAATTCTTTTGCTGCTTTTTTTTCCCCCTTGTTCCTTTACTTCCTCATTACTGCCTAGGATGAGTCAGGCAGTCTAGTTGTACGGAAGTGACACCCACTACACACCCAAAATACTGCTAACTGAAACCCTGAACAAGATTTGACCCATAATGGTATACAATTCGCCACAGAATTTTGCTTAAGGTTCATCAGTAGTCATGTCTTTGCATGACAGGCCTTCAGGAGTGGTCCTGCATCTTCTAAAGTCATACACAGCTTTAGTGGTACCCAGGAGAAATCACTCCTGATCCATACATATACACAGAGCAATCAACACTTTGCCCATGTCTCAGAAGAACAGTATTTTGCATTTCCTACTACTCCTCTAATCGAAAATCTAAATGACTAACACCTTTTTTGTCTTTAATTTACTGTTTTATTATTTGTCTCCATGACAGCTTGCTTCAGCTAATTCCGTAGATTGAGAGACATATGGCCAGGAAAGAAAAAAACTGTTTTATTCCAACTAGTTTCAAACACTTTTTGCTATTAAATTATGCTGTTGCTCTCGTAGGGACTTGGGGAGGGGAGGGAATAGAGAGAATAGAAATTTTAATATTTACTTTCTTTCTACAAAGCATTGCTTGTTTTACATACTTCTATCCTAATCACATTTAAACTACTATTTTCAGCAGCCTAAATGTTCATCTGTTCATTCAGTACCAGGTCCCCTTTTGCTGTACTGTCACTTGCAAAGTGACAGCAGTAACTCAAGCAGGAACATGGCATCCACTAGTTAACAACAGTACGTTGAGACAAGGCAGTCTAAGGGTTCCAGAGGAACCACGACACACACTTCTGCTACAGGCTTTCTGTCAGTTGGTCCTTTTGCACTTCAGTTCCCCATCTATGTAGAGAGAGAGAGAGAGAAGATACCACGTCCTTACCAAAGAAGGATATCTGAGATGCAATTGGCCAATGGGTTAAAGGAACTGAAGTAAATCCTAAGCACACAAATTCAGCAGTATTTTCCATCTAATTCTTTGCAAACCTCAACTTTCTATCTACTTTCAGGATGACCACAGAAGAACTCAAATTCTCTGCCAATTCATTGAACAAGTCAATATTCTCACAAACTACCTAGTTTAAGTGTATCTGCATAGCTGGCACTACTCTTTAAATTCCATTTTGTCCCTTCTAATTTCTAGTCTGCATGTAACATGCAACAGTTCTCAATTCTCATGCCAAATTCTCTCAGTTTCAACTGAGCAATCTACATTCAACAGTAAAGCAATAGATATGGGGGTCACAGTGGCCACCTTCATTTACAATCACTCAGTCAAGGTCTGTAGTACTAATATTTTATAGTATTAGTATATAGTATATATACACACCTAATAGTGTGTCTTCTGGATGGATGTCCACGGTGCTTGGGTTCATTGGTGCATTGATAGCATTTTTACCTTCTTCTTGGAGGTCACTCACTGAATAGAGGGAAAAAACAGAAAGACAGACTGTAATAAATGCAAAGTTGGCAGATATGTAGGGGCTGAAGAGGGTATTCATATTAAGAGAAAACATCTGGTAGATTCATTTCAAAACAGGCCCACAGTTTGTGGAATAAAGAACTGCAGTCGCAGTGGAAAATAAAATCAAAGTAACATCCTTTCATAGCTTCTTATTAAACTAAGCCACCACACAGTCGGCTGAAAGTATTTTGCAAGAAACTCAATTCTGTGGTAAGAGCAACCTCAGAGTGCTTTTTTCTCCAGAAGGAAGGGGTATGAGCTTTGTCTTCAGGATAGCCCAGATCTAGAGCAGATGGCAAACGGTAAAACCAAACTCCTTTTCTGATAGCATGACCAGCACTCATCACCACCTTTTCCAGCTGCAGAACACCACGAACTGCAACTTGCTACTGGCCTTATTAAAAGCCTCAGAGAAACCCAGGGAGACCTACCAAATCAAGGAAAAAATTTATTTAATTCAGCAATGTTGCTGGCTAAAAATAGATGTAGCATGATCTGGTGAACACAAATCTGAAATCTGTGATTTCAAGCTCTTGTCCTTAATCTACAACTCTCATTTGGAAAAGTCAGTGAAGTACCCTTCGTCAATAAAATGGATATTAAAATACTTCCCTACATCCTGCCACATGGGAGGAACTGAACTTGAGGACAAGCACCCAACAGTTCTTCAGTATCTTCACAGAGCTTGACAGTAAGAAAAGCACTAGCAATGCTGGAACACTTTTACACTCTCTAAGGCACATCTCCCCCTAAACTCAGACAGCGATTATTTATTGCAAGTCAAGCTATTGAAATACATGCATTTGAAACAGGAGAGACAAAGACAATGTAACAGTCCCATCTACTCAGTGACAGTTCTGTGTTACTATGGGCTAAGATCATTTGTGGCAGCATTTATGGTACTACAGTCTCCTTTGGGAGAGGTCCATGTCCCATACTCTTTTCAGGGAAAAGCAACAACTTCCAAATAAATAAGGTCTGCTAGACAAACTTTTCCAGGGAAAGAAAAGGAGGAACAGTTAACCAATAGTCACAGTATCCCAACAAGCACTTCCTTCAAGAACAGTCACTATTCCCCTTTCCCGCTGGAAAATCAAACCACAGGCTTGCAGCCTGCAAATGTTACAAAATCCTGCATCAGCACTTGCTTTTTTCCTGCTTGATAGAAGAGGAAAACAGAGATCCTACTGCTCCAGAAGAGGACAAAGAAGAACACACTGCAAACTCCACTCCTCCTATCATAGATACTTGAAACGCATGTTTAAAACAAGTTATTACATTTCTTAATTGCAATTCCAAGATGTTAGTTAATTCTGGTTCACAGGATTATATTGAAGATGACTAAAATCCTCAATTATGAAATGCTGTTCCTATGTTCTGCAAGCAACAAACACGTCTCATATTTTGAGACCTTACAGCTTACGAACGATGTTAGAGCAGCTGGTTGGAGCTAACACGGCACAAAGTCTGGGGGCAGGGGGGCTGCCAGCAGTAAGCACGGCTTGCTTTCTGTATTGTGTACCTTCTGCAAAGGGGAGGGAAGAGAATAGCATTCTCGACTGCAAACAGAATACAATGTCTGCAGGCTGAGATTTAACCTCCTGAATAAATGTCATTATTAAAGAAATTCTTAATTACCTCTTTTCTGCACTCATTCTCATTTTCTTGGAAAACTCTCCGAAGAAAAGTCAGGGAGCAAAGAAGTCTCATGCCACAGACCAAAGCAGCTCTACCAGCATGCCTGACCCAGAAAGAAAAGTCAGGGAGCAAAGAGGTCTCATGCCACAGACAAAAGCAGCTCTACCAGCATGCCTGACCCAGCCCTGTTTGCATTACCCACTAGAGTTTTCTCACCCGAGCAGCTCCTACACTGTGATGACAATAGGATACAGCCACCAGGAGGCACAACAAAATTCCTGTGGAAACTGGACATTACAAGTAAGATTTTTAAAACCCTGCTAGGACTATAAATGCCCAAATTCCACTTAAATCAGGCTCCTTTTGGAAGTACCAGCCTTGTTTCTAGATGTAAACCTCTTTTCATTATCATAGCATTGCTGTCATTCTGGGAATGCCAAGCATTCAGTAAGGTCAGGGCATCACCGCTCCTAACGCTCTGCAAATGCAGAATAGAGCTGCTGAGTTCGTCTGGGCAGCTAATACACAGTACTGTCTTCAGTGTATGCTATATAAACAAAACTCTGCATACATTTCAAGCCAGAATACTTTTAAATGTGGCTAAACTAGTTTCGTTCCCAAAAGTTCAATTAAGATGATACACTTGCCTTTTTTTTTTAATATAAAAATGACCTCCACTCTCCCTAACACAAATACCTTGTTTCTGAGCAATTTACTAAACTGAAAGAAAACATTAATATGAATTTGTGTCTTAAGCCCCCAACCCTCACAACATGAAGAGCCACATAAAACCCTTACATTGCCTTCAGATTCAGTTCGGCTGGGCCAGATCCCACAGGACCAAAACATCTTCTCCTACCACTACCAGCAAAGCCTGGCTATGTCAGCAGAAAGCCTCCTAAAGCCTGCTGCCCAGGGAGAGCCCTGCTTACAGAGCACCCGTACACCAAGTCCTAGGCAGACAGCTTGTGAAGAGATTCTTGCTACAAACATAATGTCTCCTACCTCCTTTTTTGCGCCTCTTACACAGGAGCCCTGCCATCCCAGCCCCAGCAGTACAAACAGGTCACAGATGAACCGTACAGGCCGTCTGAATGCTGAAAGAGCGGCAGCAACTGGAAAAAGGGCTGCCACCTCGGGACTGCCAAACCTACGTTAATTTGGGCACGGTGACACAGGAGGAGGCACTAAGATAGGCTCTCAGCTGCTAGGTCGGGGGTGGGCCGGGAGGAGGACACAGCACTTGGCCATGGACTCCCAGCCAGAAATCCCTCCCTATCCTTGCCGCTTCTACAGATAGCCGAGTGCCTCCCTTGGCCTGCTCCTGGCTGCCTACAAGCAGGCACCTCAAAGATGCCATTTTCTCTGCAAGGAGCTTCCCAAGAAAGTCATCTCCACTCTCTGGCCAAAGCACAGTTGGGTTCCTCACCGTGAGAGCTTGCCCCAGGAACACAGAGGTTCACAGAGCAACAGTCAGCATGCAGAGAAGCAATAGTGCTCAGGAACATAGATTTACCAGGGTATTCCCAACATGTGCTGCACTCTGGAACCCTTTCACACTGCGCTTCCACAAATGCTGAGGACTTTTTCCCTGCTAGCTGCCCCCAGTGTTCACTTATCACTGTTTAACAAAGAAACAGAAGCAGGAAAAGGAAACTGAGCCACAATGCTGGAAAAAAACAGAGAACCCACAAACCAGCAAGTGGAGACAGTTAAAATAATAGTCAGGATGGAGAAACAGGTACATTTCTGAGAAGAATCCGATAGGTGTTTTAATGCAAATTTACAACAAAGAACGGCTTTCAGCCCATGCCTTCACAAACCCAAGGGTACTGTAAAAATTATAGATATTAACGGATTGGCAAACGCCAACCTCCTCAACTTTGTATCAGCAACAGTGGCTTTGCTGTAAGATTTAGACCAGATCCTTACATCGAACGAGCCTTCCATGCAAGAGGGCATTTTACTGGTAGAGCAGAGCTGTATTTGCACAACAGGTTATAGTCATGGTAGGTCCCACATCAGGTATTACTGCTCCTTGCCTGCTCTCCACCCGCCCATTCACAGATCCCCTTCTTTTCCCCTTCCTTTCCCCACAGGAAACATCTTCCCCTGTTGTGTTGGCATATTTCTTTGCTCTCCAAATGAGATCTGTGTAAAATATCTTTCTCTAAAGCCTGATCATTTCATCTCATAGATCAGTCAGAGGAAACCTGCAGTAGGGGAAGACAGGAAGGGCTGGGAAATTGAGTACAGGCTGGAGTAGCATCACTTGGTGCTGGCCAGTCCCCAGCAGAACGTTTCCTCTATCTGTTGCCCTGGGCTGGTTTGTTTGCTCCCGCTGGCACACCTCACCATGCCAGGGCAGAGGTCTCCCTCAGACCTGCCAGCAGAACTCGTACAAGCAGCCCCAACATCCAAGGAACCCATGAAAAGAGTTTGCACCCATCCTGACCCACAACACAGACTCGGCTAAATGGTTACAGCCTTAACATAAAACTTGCCAATGGTCTAAATGATTCAGCTGTGAACTTACATGGGACAAGTCAGGTGTACCTACAGGCACAGAAAGATGATGCCTTGGAAAGGTATCTGGCAGAATTAGCTATGATTTCTCCCAGATGTCTGCTAGGGCCTCCCTCCCTTCCAGCTGGAGATCTCCTCTCTGAGCAGATCCTCAATTAACAGGCAGCACTAGTCCTCCAAACTGCTTCAGTACCCCATCGGCCAGCACTAGCAAAATCCAAATGTAACAAGGGATGAGCAAGCGGCCAAGGCACTCAGCAAAAACTCTGAGTTTTAACAATCTCCTGCCAGTGTCAGCAGTGGCCAAGGCACTCAGCAAAAACTCTGAGTGTTTTGCTAAACCAGAAATTTAAATTCACGAGTAAAACGTCACTTCTCTACTGGTCCCCAGGAAAGCAGCAAGGGTTCCTGGCAGCCCTCCGATGTTTTAACAATCTCCTGCCAGTGTCAGCAGTCAACATGATTTAATCACATTGGCAGCTGTGCTGGGCTTTCAAACAAATTAATATAATGAGTGGATGGCATACACACATGCTATACAGCACCACATCTGTAAGCCAGGCAGGCTGTCTTGGTGCATGGGATTACACACAAACTGCACAGAACAGGAGCAATTAGCTGCAGAAAGTTGGAAGTGCCACGAGAGCTGTCAAGGATTTCTTGCAAGTCAAGAAATGGCCTTTAAGGTCAGCAGGAGTGCCATAAAAAGATGTCCCCACTTTCTCCTTTTTATATGGAAGAGCAAGCTGATGTCAACAATTTGATCCTTTCTACCTTCACTCTTAATAATTTTAGGGTAGTTCTGGAAGATATCAACAGCAGCACAGTTCACTTCTTAAGCCTTTACCATTCACTGCCTTGTTATTAAAAAATTGACCGCAAGTCTCCACCTTTTACAAAAACAGATGGTAAATGCTACTTAATTTTAGCTCTAGTTATTTCTGACTGCAAGGCTGAATCCCACCCCGCAGAAAGCAGCAGCTGTCGTGACGCTAATCACGGGGTTCTGGATACAGTGCTTTCCTTTGCATTCAACCAGTGCCGAGCTGGCTCCGCAGCACTGCCTGACCACAACTTTTGCATGATGTACTTTCATCTCGTGATTAAACCCTAACTTTGGAAGCTATTAGACTGCTTTGTTACCCTTGGCTCCACTACAGATGATTTGTTCAAGTAACTTTGTCATCCTCTTTTGTCGGAGCAGCACACAGACGGGAAACATGCAATGACCACGGAACTCGAACTGCATGGGAAATGTCTTACTGCTGCCCACGGTTCCTTGCTCCTCCCGTGGACAAAACCATGACCAGCTGCACTTTTTCAGACAGTGGCTCACCTGCCCGCAATTCGTATTTTAAGAGTTCAGATAATCATGTGTAAAATAGAAAGTGCATATTCAAGGCCATTTCTACCCCATTCAGACCAATGACACAACCCTCATTCACTCACACCTGTGGCCATGTGGACATAGGACAAATCCCCCTGATGAAGCAGCCAACCCTTGCATAAAAGATCAAATACCTGCTGGAGCTCCCACTTCCCATCGGAGGTCTCAGACCAGAAGGGAACAGGTCCCTGGCAGGTAAAGACCTTGCAGTGTGTATCTCTTAGCCTGCTCCTCTGCCTATCACAGACCAACAGATGCAGCCATGCATATGCAGGATTTCTACCTGACACCTACAACTTTCAATAAAAGTCATCTTCAAAACCGTAAGCCTTCTAGGAACATTAAAAAAAAAATAAAGTTTTACAAAAACTGGCATTTTCCAAGAAAAACTGTTGTACTGAAAGATTTCAAAACCAGCCCCAAACATAACACATGCTGATACACTGAGATTCTTTGTCTCTTTTATAGAGACAAACTACACACACAACTCACCAGTCTGCTACTGCATTACTAATCGCTTAACATTTACAAAAGGCTCTGAGATCTTTTGATAGAGACTGCAGGAGAAAGACAAAGCCTCCATTAATTATAATAGAGAAATAATAATCCCAGGCAGATCAAAGGCAAAGACTTGATCAAATCCACATAAAGGCACTGTATCAAGGGACTGCATTCAAAGCAGAACTGTGGTAATAAAGGAAATTATTTATGTGCCTCAGTAGGCAGACAAGGCACTCACAACGGCCAGGCTCTGTCACTTAAAGAGACAGAAAGACCTAAAAAAAGGGAAAAGTAAAGCTAAAGGCAACTTTTAGGAAAGGGCTGTAATAACACTTTTGGTTTAGTTGCAAAGAGCAGGTCACGTTTGCTTATATGGATGTTAAACTTACAGAGATTAGTGGTCTATTCTGTGACTGCCAGAGTAAAGATGTCCCCTTTATTTTTGCCAGGGGTAAAATATGTATCTAGCATGGTAACAGCATATTCAATACTTGTGTCGGTTGGAAAAGTTTATGAGAAGCTGGGGCTTTGTTTTGTTTGTGAGGGTGAAATACTGCTTTCACATTTTTGCCCGTTAAAATTCTTATCTTTCTATCGAGTTGTTTGGGGTGGGGGAGCGTGAAAAAAGAATTTGCGTTTTTTGGTGGGTGACACCTGTGTTGAGTAGCCAATATTAACAAGGCTACAGCTGTCCTGACCAAGTCCTGCACATGTACAAGCCCAAGGGTGCGCTGAGGCAGAGCCAGAACAGGCAGAAATGCAGCTGCTTGGGAGAGAGGAGCACTGAACAGACCACAGCAGCCACGGGCGGCTTTCAACATCACCAGCACTGCCAACTGAACACCAAATCAAACAAAATGAGGCTCTGTAATTACTAAGTAGACAGATCTTTAGCCAGTTATGTGGCCCACTTCAATTCAGCAAGAAAGCTAAATCCTGCAAAAAGCAAGCTGCTGTGCGCTGAACCAGTTTTCTGCTCCAGCTCCCTGCAGGGCCCTGCGAATGCAGCGGGAGGAGGATTCTGTCCTCGCCCAGCCACTGCCATGCTGGGCAGCCTTACCTGGGTCTGTCGGCCCGGCACAACACAACAGCCAGCAAGGCAGGACCGACCACCCCTGCTGCTACACTGCTGGAATAACTGAACAGAGAGATCCCCCCTCTGGTACTAACCTGGCTCTGATAGCAACTGACAAAGCCAGAGCTGACCCTCAGCTGCCTGGGCATAAACAGACAGCGATGAAAGCCAAGGTGAGCCCACAGTACCAACACAGAGCCATCATATTTAACATTTGAGTCTTCTTTCCAGCAGTCATACTGGTCCCAGTCAAGCCTCACAGCTACCAAAGGACCTCGCCAGAATTCATCTCAGCATTTAGCTCCACAGCTTCTGCCCAGCTCATGCAACAGGTCTAACATCCACTTAGTAAATACTTAACTAGGAATCCTTTCAAATAGGTTCTGCAAGGCAGAAAAGCAAGAGGCAGGCTTTGACAGAAGCATACAGAAAGCTATGGAACTAAAACTAAAAGTCAAACTCGGGATTCATCACTTTGCTCTAAGCCCCTGATTCTCATTTCTTTCATTATTGTCTCATAAGGGAAAAATAAAATACTCTCTAAAGTATCTAC